AAGTGGTTTCGGGGGTGGATAGGGAAACGAGAGGGTGCTTCGTCAATACTAATTAAAGAATCATTAGAAAATGAAGGCCTCCATCATATTTTAAAATAATGAAGATAAGTTAACCGTTCCAAAATTTGATGAGTTGTTGGATATGGTAACACCACTAATAACTTAGGTATATGAAATAATATACATTTTTGGAGTAAGGCAATTTCAACTGGAAATAGCTTAAAGATACATGGCAAGTGGGGACAGCGTCGATTTCAAGGTCGGCTAGGCCTACTAGCGACTAATCACCTCAAAAGTTGAACATGTCCAACTTTCCTAGCGTGTGAATATTCACTCACCGGCGAGTGCTAAGTTAGTCGCCGCTACTTACTATGTCACATACAGCGATTAGTAACCGCTTCTCTAGTCGCTGTGTGACAGAGCCTTTAGGCCTACCTAACAAACTTAAAGATAAAAACTCGCTCGCTATCTTTACAAAACAGCTGAAACAATACCTCATAAATCGACCATACTACAAAATTATAGAATATCAGGAAGAATATACATTTCCTATAAAATAACACTCAAACAAACACAAATCATACATTCACCCACACTACAACACTAGGCCTACACATAATCAAGAAAGAAGAAAGATGAAAAAGAATTACGGTGAAGACTTCAATGGTAACTTAAATGGTAAAGGATAGGACAGAGGCAAAACTGAAAAAATATTCACACTGCAAAAAGTAAAGTAGGCCTAGGCCTATGTTAGTTTTTATATAATTAGGTTACCTAACCTCATACTTACAGATTTAGTTTCATATAGAGCTATTTTTTGTATGGAACTAATTATGGGGTGCATTACTACATCCATGCTGGATAAATAATTTGATTACTGGCATGAAGGTCCGTCAGGCTTTCAGAACAAAGTTGTCTTTGATTGAATGAAAATATAGCAATGATAACATTGATACCGGCATTTGTTTTTGTTGTTTGTTTTCTCTTTCCTCAATTCCTCTCCTTGAAAAGTTTCTATTCCGTGCAATGCCATTGTTTTGCATCGACTCCCGTGAGCCTGTCCAGTACGCGAGTCTAGTTAACGGAAGGCTCAGAGGACGCTCCATGATGCACAATTCTATTCTCATAGCGTGACGTCAGTCTCTTCTCACCTATGGAATTTGAATAAAGAACGACCATCGGTTTATGATCCTGTTAAAATGGGTTGCTCGTAAATAAATAAATAAACTTATATTGCAATCATAATGTTGACGTTGACATGACATTTTTTTTACTATCAACAAAACAACAGGATGACGCCATCTTGATCTTGCCTCTAAGGCCTACCGCACACGAGAGACTTTTTGTCGGCCGACTGTTGGCCATCTGTCTGGCTGGAGTCGGGTGGACAATCGAAAAGTCGTCAAGACTGTTTGGTCGTTGACTATGGGTGCGCACACTACACGACTGTTTAGTCGTCTTTCGAGTGTCAAAAGGATGTATATGACAGAAACCGCTGTCATATGTGCGTTACTGACAAGATATCGTGCAAGAAAACTTAAGAGAAAATACTGGGTGCATCCAATTTATATTCCGAGAACCTTGAAAGGCCAGATTTACCTCTATACTCGGATTTGAGGAAATACCCGGACAAATGTTTCATGTACTCATGAATGAGTGTTGATTTGTTTGACCAATTGTTAATACCCCGGCTTCAAATACCTCATCCCATAACTTTTAGGGAATAAGCTGTAACTGTAGCTCTCATGGTGAGACCTGGTCCCGGGACCGATTTAACTTTTCGTTTTGATATCCCCAGAGGCCAAAAACACCATCCGTTCAAATTCACACACATATATATATATTTGTCCGTTAGCACGATAACTCGAAAAAATATCCGATTTTGATGAAATTTGGTACAAACGTGTAAATCTACTTGTATTTTATTCGAATGAGTTCGCAAACCAGCATGACTATGGGAACGGGGGTTTATGGGGGGTTTTATCGGGTAAAATGGGGGTTTCCCATTTTCTTACGATAAAAACAAAAGATTCCGCAATTTCTTTAGAAAACAAAACACCATCCGTTCAAATTCACACACACATATATATATTTGTCCGTTAGCACGATAACTCGAAAAAATATCCGATTTTGATGAAATTTGGTACAAACGTGTAAATCTACTTGTATTTTATTCGAGTGAGTTCGCAAACCAGCATGACTATGGGAACGGGGGTTTATGGGGGGTTTTATCGGGTAAAATGGGGGTTTCCCATTTTCTTACGATAAAAACAAAAGATTCCGCAATTTCTTTAGAAAACATTTTGCAGAGCTTGCAAAAACAAATAATTTAGCATGCTAATTGTTATCATAATGGTTACAGGGAAATTCCAAAATATTTAAAGTTAAAATGTTCATGTAATTTATGTAGAACAAGTAAACTGTTGTAGTTTGCTTGTTTATGGATGTATTTTGATAAAACTTGGCAAATCTATTTATTTTATACTCAGCTGAATTAATGTTTTACTAAAACACACCCGGAATGCCCTCCCTGTAGCAACACACCTAGGTACTCGTTTATCCTAATTTTATTGAAATAGATTAAATAAAAAATTAAATCAGGCAAATGGGAATTCACTTAGTCTGTAGGTTTGCTGCAATGGAGGTATTTTTTTTATTATGACCAAATACTCTTTCAAAGTCTTTTTATAAAGGAGGGGATCGTGCCTCAACTTCTTCGATAATTTTATCAACTTTCTCGTCGCTCAAAACACTTGCACTGGTGGTTGTCGAAGCCATAATAATAACAATAACACACAAATAATAATACTCATCATAATAACAATAATAATATACATGATAACAACGCACTCGACTGTCAGACAGACAGACTTTTTAGTCGTCAGTGTGCGCGTTCAAACTTATCTCCATGCCTTATCAATAAGACACGACAGTTGAGTCGGGGAGCAGTCGGCGGGAAAATCGGTCAGCACCAAACTGCCCCGACTGTCTGCGGACAGTCTGCCGACTGTCTTGCTGGGGTCGGCCCGTGTGCGCGCTCAGATTTACCACTATGGGGCCGACTTTGACTCCCGACAACGACTTAATAGTCGGCCGACAAAAAGTCTCTCGTGTGTGGTAGGCCTAAGGCCGAGCGCACACGGTCTGACTGTTTTACAACTGTCGTTGCAAACCAGTTGCGCTTGCAACTGTTTTGCGACATCGGCAATGTATTGCAGTCGAAACGGCACAAGGAAGATGTCTCAGGTGCCGTTTGATGTCATTAACTGCTGACGTCACTTTGAGGGAACACCAATACCGCAACGATACGGCTTTCAGCCATCGGCCTCGGTGGTGCAGTGGATAGCGTTGCGGGTTGATAATCCGAAAGTTCCGGGTTCGAATCCCGCCGGCGGCACCAACTTTTTATCAACAATTTTTTAATATCAGCAAGTTTGGTTGGTTTGGTTAGGTTATTACAGTTTAATTTTATAATTAAAAAATTATAAAATTGAATTTTAGGCAATTATAATTTTATTTTATGAACAAAACTATTTTTTAGATTAGTAAACCTTTATTCGATTTTCCATTATCAGCACGTTTGGTTAGTTTGGTAAGGTTATGACAGTTTAATTTAATAATAGAAAATTATAAAATTGTCTGTTTCTTCAGACGCAGCAGTTAGTGACGTCAAACGGCACCTGAGAAATCTTCCGTGTGCCCCACCGGTATTGCAGTGGGGAGCCGCACACGACGCAACTGGTCGTTTGCGATTTTCAAAAAAGTTTGAAACCAGTCACATGCAACGGTGGGCCCGACGTTGCAGCAACCAGTTGCACGAAACCACGGGGTGTTTTTGTGGTGTTTGGTGGAAATTTGTTGTTATTTTGACGGCCGTATAGTGTTCATCTCAAAATGAATGATCAAGAATTCAACTTGAAGCTCGTTGGAGAAGTGGAGAAACATGAAGTTCTGTACAACTACAAACTGCCAGGATATTCAAGGAAAGATTTGACTGATAAAGCACGGCAAGATGTGTCTGTTGAATTGGGTTTGCCAGGTAATGTTATAAATTAATTAATTTTTTTTATTTGTAAACTGATTTAATTAATTAAATATTATACATTTAATTTTACCATAACTCAGGTGTTAACAACATAACCTCACAAACACTACATTACTGGTAATGGGCCGAGTGAATAAAAACGAGTAAAAGAGTTGACTTGTCTTAAATTTTCATAATTTGAGTATTTACTTGAACAGAAGTGAATAAACACTAGTATTTACTTGTACTTGTTAGTAAATAATAAGGGTGAACCCAATGTTCCCTCTGTACCCTACGGTGTTTTCTGTATTCATAATAGCTAATGACGTCTTCTTCGTCTAAGTCTGACATTGTTATTGTACTTAAAAACACTTAAAAACAAGGAAGGCCTTAAAAACAACGTCACTGCACTTACAATATAACACTCCACTGATTGCAGAATATACGACACTGTAGTTGTAACACAGTTGCACCGTGTGCGCTCTTTTTTCAGTTGCAAACTGGTTGCAGTCGCAACGGGTTTGCAACGGTTGCTCTCAAAACAGTCACACCGTGTGCGCTGGGCCTAATTTGACAAGTCCCACCAACCGATCGCATGGCCAACCTAACAACACGGAACTCTGAAACCAAACTAGCAAAAACAGTGGTACTGTTTTTAAAACAGAGTGGTTACTCCAATTATTATTATAGCTCAGTGGGAAGTACAGAAACTTTAACCAGAGACTGAGTTGGTCAGATCGAGATCTGACCATCTGACTGATCGAGACCACTATCGAGACTAGGTGCTTTGCTAGGAGATTATAGTGGAACTGAAGTGGAACCACTGGATGGACTGATCTACAGTATACAAGTATGTGATCAACTGGTGTCTTCCGTGGGTGGATTGGAATAGCCCTAGCAGTGAGAGTGAGAGTGAGTGAGAGAGAGTCCTGTCCTGTTCCTGTATGTATGTGATGAGGAGTAGAGGAGATGAGTGAAGTGAAGTAGTGAAGTGAACTGTATTATTGACTATAGGCCTACATGTACTCTAAAAGAGGCAAATATTGTTTAATTTTACTCGTATCACCTCTAATTTAATCAAATAACAGGTAAGTAAGGTTCACTATGCTACATTGTATATGTATAGGCTAGGCCTACGTAAATTCTAAATCTAATGCTAATTCTGAAAGTAGCTGCTAAGATGTTGGGGATTTCGGAAGTAGGCCTAGGCCTTTTGACACTTCTAGTACTTTGGCATAGGCTATTTTAATCTGTTGTAGATTGAATCTCTATTTGATCCCACAAAGATAATATTGCTTGGTAGGCATATTCACTTCATTGTTCATACCGTGTTGTATTATGCCTGTTGAAAGACATTGGCACTTGACATGTTGCAGTTGCACAACTTCAGTGGCAGGCTGAAAGTGATGTAGCCCAATTATGTTGAACTACTTGGTAGGTCTAGGGATAATTCAATTGATTCTGCAGCCTATTCTGGCACATAGATAAATGATTGCTAAGAACGAGTGCACTGAGGTGTCATTTTGGGCACACAGTTAACTTTGGTTCAGTTAAGTTACAGTGTAGGACCTAAAATTATAGCACTAGGCCTAGGCTAGAAACTCCTTGGCAATCATCTAGGCCCAACGTCAAATAGCGTAGGCTAACTTACTTTGAGTAGAAGTGTGCCAACCCTGGGATCACGTCAGGCCCGGTTTTGACCCTGTCAGCGCCCTAGGCACAACACGACTAATAGAAGCGCTCGCTTTGCAATATAACAGGGTGTCCACCGACCGGACGCAAGGGATGATCAGAATTTTGCCGCAATTGCGGGGAATGATTACGATGTCTACAGGACCGCGGTAGAAACAATAAACTTAATGATGTTTACACGACCACGAGGAATGATCAGAATTATGCCGCAATCAGCAACAACTATGATAAGTTAATGTCCACACGACAGCAGGAAAAGATCAGAATTTTGTCTCATTCGCGGAAGCGGGGAGACGATTATATAATGATGTCTTTGCAGTCGCGAGGGATGATCAGAATTGTACCGCGATACCGGTAGCGCAAGACGATGGTTATGTCCACACGACCGCGGTTAAAGATCTGAATTTTGCCTCATTCGCAGTAGATTTTTGTAAACTTCTCATGACCGTGGGATATGTTCATTTTAATGCCTATGCCACAATCATGGAAGACAATAATTATGTCCGTACGACCACAGGATATAGTCAGAATTTCGAAATGCATGCAAATACAACCACCGTTTTTTAACTTTTCCAATTATTGGCGCCCCCCAAAAAAAGCCAATTGCCTCTCCCCTAGGCACGTGCCTACCATGCCTATTTGGTAAATCGGCCCTGGATCACGTCACAATTATCAACATGTTGATGGAGAGACGGATAGGTAGGCCTATTTGAATACATATGATCCAATCTTTGTCAATGTATTTTTGGTACATTCCTGTTGATGTCATTTTTTATGTCGGGAATCTTTTTTATTGTCTAGCAGGATGAATCTGAATCTGACTTAAATATATATATATATATATTTTATATTTATCTTGTAACTTGCCACTCATGTATTTATTGATCGTAAAAATCAGTGTTAGGGAAGCTACTTTTAAAATGTATAGCTAGCTACAGTTACTGCTACATTTTCAAAATACCCCCGCCGCAGCAAACCTGCAGTCAAAGCGAATTTCAACTTGTCTGATTACATATTTACTCAAATATTTCCATAAATAAGCGAGTGCTTAGGTTTGCTGCTACGGGGAAGGTAAACAGCGTTTTTTGACCGGACAATGGGAACGGGGGTTTATGGGGTAAAAATGGGGTTTTCCCATTTTTGACCCTAAAAAGATAACATTTTGGAATAGGCTATATTTCACAACCATTTCAGAGACCTAAAAAAAGAAATGACTTGGTATATTGAAGCAATGTCGTATGCCTAATGGTTACGGAGAAAATAAAAAATACCCCCGCCGCAGCAAACCTGCAGACTAAGCGAATTTCAACTTGTCTGATTACATTTTTACTCTTAAATATTTCCATAAATAAGACATTTATTCCCTATTTAAATAACATTAGATTTAACGAGTGCTTAGGTTTGCTGCTACGGGGGAGGTAAAAAGTGTTTTTTGACCATACGTGAATAGTACTGGATGAAATAAATAAATTTGCCAAATTTTATCAATATATATCCATAAACAAGTAAACTGCAACAATTTTTATTTTCTCCATAAGCATAACATGAACATTTTAAATTAAACTATTTTTGAATTTTCTCCGTGACCGTTAGGCATACAACAGCGCTTCAATATACTAAATTATTTCTTTTTTTAAGCTCTACAAAATGGTTTGGAAAAAAATTGCAAAATTTTTTGTTTTTAGGGTAAAAAATGGGAAAAACACATTTTTACCCCATAAAACCCCCCATAAACCCCTGTTCCCATGGTCCGATTATGCTGGATCGCGAACTCGTTCGAATAAACGTAGGTTTACACGTTTGTACCAAATTTTATCAAAATCGGATCATTTTTGCTCGAGTTATCGCGCTAACGGACACATATATATATATATATATATATATATATATATATGAATTTGAACGGATGGTGTTTTTGGCCTCTAGGGACCTCAAAATGAAAAAAAAATCGGTCCCGCGTCCAGGTCTTACCATGAGTACTAGGGTAATAGCTTATTCCCTATATGGGAAATTCGCTAAAAGTGGCTTAGCTACAGCTACAGTTCCGAAAAAGTAGCTAGCTACAACTACAGCTACAATGAAATGTAGCTATAGCTACAATTTTAGCTACTTTATCAAATATTTTCTTTTTTCCGTAGGATGTGTTTTATTTGGTACATTAACTTATTGCTGAACAACAAGTTACTTGATGTAGTAAAATCAAATTTCCTTTTAGGTGCTTTAACTGAATCCCCGGAACAAAATTTAAATTAGGTTTTTATTGAATCAACACACATCCTAGCCTAAACATTGCTTCATAATGAACACTGAACACATAAGCATATCCAAATAACATATGGCAGTCTACTCCACATATTACTGGGTTTAAATAAGGTTAAATATGGAGATTTCTTAACATTTCCTAAAAAAAAAATAAACTGGATCTGTCGCTAGCCTAACGGTTAACATCTCGGACTTAGTATTCTCATAGACGAATCCATAATGAACATCTCTTAACTTAGTTCCACTTTCATTCCATCAAAGTCTTAGTTAGGCCTATCACAAAGACTTAAAGTCGTCGTACATGGAGTTTAAACACATCTTACATTTCATTAGATAATTCCCCTTTTCGTTTACTTTATTAAGTAAAAAAAATAAAAACTTCATATGCCGTTAATGCCGGCCAAGGAAGGGCTTCGCTTGTGATGAATCACAATCAGTAGCGGTTTGATGGACCAGCCTTTTCAATATTTGAAGATGCTGAGTTGGTTTCCATTGAAAAACCAAGTTAATACCAAATACCAAATTTATCAGTAGCCTATAAAACATCAATTACTACTTAGTTAAGTATCAAGTTACAATCTTTCAGACCTTTTTTATTTTTATAATGATTTTGGAGTTACTTGTTTTGGCTATTACAGTAGTAAAACATGTCTCACACTGCTTACACTCAACCAAACTTCTCATCATTTGCAATATCAAAACAAAAAATGATAAAACAATCAAAGCAATATTTACAAGCAAAGAATTAATTAAATAAGATTGCCTTCACAAAGGAAACGCAAAAGCAACACGCTCCTGTATTGAGGATATTGCGTTGACTTTCTGCAGGCGTTTCTCAGATACTGACTCCCTCGTGAATCCAATTGTTTTTTGATCACCACTGAATCGAATCGTGATTTAATGCATCGAATCGAATCAGAATTTTGATGCATCGCTCACCCCTAATATCTATGATTATAACTCAGCAGTGGCACCTTGTCTTCAGAAGCCCTCACATGCATAATAGTATGCAATATATATGAGCTGTATAAACGGTTTGAATTTTTAATTTAGGAAAATAGTTTTTGGCCAATTCTTCATTATCCAGATTTAACATGATTCTTATTGCCCTTTTTTGAAGGATTACTTTGTAAACTTTGATTTACTTGTAGCTCCATACCAAATGTAATATGTGAGTTGATATTTGTGTGGTAAACTTTAAGCAATATCTGAAGCGAACAATATTTTAACGGGATTTCTCAGGGCAAATAAACCGGAGGGAAGTTTATGTAACAATTTATCCTTATGTATTGATCATGTGATAATTTTTCCTCAAGCAATAAACCCAAAAATTTTGTTAACTTCCCCTACTTGAGTAATTTGGAGATCATTTACTAGTACTTTAATACAACATTCTGGATTTTTATTTTGTGCTGTAGGTACTGAATGATATGAAATTGGTTTGATTAAAATTGAGAATTTTAATTTATTGAAGTTTGAGTAGTTTTTATTAGATAACAGATTGTTTTGGGCCGACTCTTGTATTTACCAGGAACTAACAAATTTGCATCATCAGCATAGACACAATTTTGCCATATTATCTGTTACCGGTAATGCTGTATTTAGTAGGCCTAAAGTAATATGGCATGGGCTAAGTTATTTAGGCAATCGAATATAAGTTGGGGTTCTAGAGTCAAGCATCCAATTCTTTCCTTTAATATTTTAATTTTCTGTTCCAGATAACTTTGAGAAAGAATCACTCACTAGCATAACTCCTAATGGGAAAGAAGAAAGGAGGAGGTAATAAGTTTTTTTTTTTAATGCAAAGCTTCTAGGCCAATAATTTTTAAATGGCCTTAGATAACTACTCAACTAATCATTCACAGCTGAAATCCTATGAGATCATTTTTGTATGTACTCCTCTATTCCAGTTAGCTCTGGGTCTGGGTTTTCACTAGGCCTCTCCATCTTCTTCTACACCTCTGCAATTCCTCTTCCTCCACATACTGGACTACTCCACATACTCCACATGATGGATTCAAGATGGCTGCTAGTACAAACAATTCAGTAGTTTGCTCTTCATTTGGACTAGTTTTATAAAGTTTCATTAGTATTTTGTGATTTCTGAGTGTTACTAACTTAACCTACAAGTTACAGTGAGTCATATAACAGCTAGAACTCTATCTTTTCACATTCATACTTACAATCCATCCAGTTTTAGTTTTATTGTGCTTGGATTTGGGGCTATCTAAGTTTGCCTTCAAATTTAATCATTTCATGTTGGAACATTATATTAACCGCCAATTTCACATTTGACATTTCATAACCTCAAAATACACTACTGCTGTCAGTGCTGTCTGCAGAATCACATTTCTCAACTGTCAGTTTTTTTTTTTTCTCCAAGCTAGACTGATAACTCACTCAGCCTTAAGTGTAGTCTCAGTCTGGTCCTCAACCAATAGACCTTCAACCAAGAGTTGGCCTACAACCTCCTGCTTGTGCAGTCGGCTCTAAACATAATAGACCTCAATCCTCAACCAAGAGTTGGCTTACGACCTTTTACTTGTGTAGTCAGTTCTCAACATAACAGACCTCTGGTTATAACAGACAACTGGTTAATTGATATTAGGTGATATCAATACTACCAAGATATGCATGAAGCTTATCTGTGCAGTGAGAAACTAACCAAAATTTTATCTTAAAAATATCACAATTATCTTCAGCTCAAGTATTCAGAATGTTCTCTCCCACTAATACAAAGGAATTTAAGGCTGGAAACTTTGTATTTGCTAAGGTTAAAGGATTTCCTTTCTGGCCGGCTAAAATATTAAATGTTGACAATACCTCCTTTAAAACAATTGTTAAATATGAAGTTTTGTTTTTTGGTTCAAATGAAACTACTTTTGTAAATAAAAATGATTTACTTCATTACTATGAAAATAAGTTCAGATACCCTCTTGAATCTGTGGCACAGAAACATAAAAATAATTATAGTGTCGCACTTAAAGAGATTGCCAAAGCATGGGAAGCGGAGAACAAGACAAATAATGGTTCCCCATCGACCCCATCCATGAAATCAGCGAAAACTCCAAGCCAAAGATTGCATCATAACTCAGCTAGTAGAAGTGACAGAAATCAGAAAGTAGAGGTACACACTTCGTCCAGTAAAATCGATACTGTAAATGTGGAAGAAGTATCAGTGAATCCTCCAACAGATAAAAGTGATGTACAAAAATTAAGTGTACTTACTGAAAAATGTATAACACTGGAAAAGGCGCTGATTGAAGAAAGAAAACACAAAACAGATGACTTTCATACTCAAATATTAAAACAAGAGCTAAATAAATTAAAGGAAGAACTTAAAAGCCTTCAGAGGATTATTGATATCCTTCAAGAAGAAAAAAATGAACTTACAACTCAAATAGGCAAAATAACTCAACAAACTCCGAGTAATCTAAACGACAGCTTGAACACCTGCAAAACTACTCAAGAATCTCAAACATGCGTCACTACCACCAAAAGTAACTCCTGGATAACAATTTCTCAAAAAGGAAAACTGAATAAGGCAAAAGAAAGCAATCAAATAACAGAAGTAACTTTGCAGAATAGTTTTGAAGCTTTGACGTCTACGGATTCTGAAACATACCAATTGGACTCGACTGGTATCCCAACAGAGAAATCCACAAATAAGCCGAATCCCTTACAGCCAAGTAAGAAGAAATGCATAACGACAAAGGGTCAGGCTAAGAAAATCAAGGCGGCAAACCAAACCTCTCGCCTGGCAATAATTTCTGATAGCCAGGGCCGAGGTCTAGTGCACTGTATTGACTTGGTGGCTCAGGGAAAATTTGATACCTTTGGCTGTACAATGTCAGGAGCTCATTTGGAGGATGTCCTGAGCTCTTCCCTGAATGCAGACATCCTGAAAAACTATAAGGAGACTGACTGGATACTTCTGATGGCAGGCTGTAATAATGTGAAGGCGCATCATTCTATTGATGATAAGGCTGCTATATCAAACAAAATCATTAACTGTTTAACAAGTCTGATAGAAAAATGTAAAAATACTAATCTGATTTTAACCACCCTACCATATCGGTATGGTCTTCACAATAGCCACTACCACCACCAGATCATTGCGGAAATTAATAACAATATCAGGGCTTTAGTCTACAAGAACAAAGATGTCAACCTGCTAGATCTATATCTATTGGAAAAGTTCAATCACACTCGACATGGCTACCATATAAACAAAAATGGGAAAAGAAAAGTGGCAAACATGATACTGGATATAATTCAAACCAAATGTCAGGCTACCCAAACAGAAAATGACCCAACAGCCATCAAACATATCACCCAAACAGTAAATCTTGGATGTGGAAAAAAGATCACGATTACTCAACAAGACATGACCAGGGTCATCAACGACCATTGTAACAACAAAGAGGTCGCATTCTCTCACACAATATCTGGTGACTTTGGGAACGATAGGCATATGACAGCTGGGGTAGCTGTTACATTCGCACGGGAATTTGGCAAACCCACTCTATGGAACTGTGTGTCTGACCATCTGGCATACCAGCAGGTCAAAGATGGAGCTGGAGTATACAGCTTGATAACAAAGCTGGATTACTGGGGGAAGCCCAACCTAAATGATTATGACAGGGCTTTTGGACAGTTCTGCAATGATTTTAAAAGAAAGGGCTACAAATATCTCTACTGCTCTCCCATGGGCTGTATAAGAGATAGAGTAAAAGTAGAACATTTTATAAAAAATGTCATCAAATTCCAAGTGGAGACTAAGGCCCAGATTAAAATTGTTGCATACAACCAAAGATCAGCACGTGTTTTGCGGAACGGCCTGGATCACAACACCTTCATAAAGGAAATGGAGAGGTGCTTGGAGACCTTTTCTTATCTCCAGAGGGAAGAAGATCCACTAACACCAATAGCAATAGACACCAAATAGATGTTGTTAGCCGTTCTTCACCAGTGAGTCCACATCACCCACCGCTGATTAATCCAGTGAGCAGAGAGCAGATGCCGACATCAGACGTCCCTCTTCGCCTCTCTATGAGTACCACCACTGACCACGGGAGCCTTCACCTACCAGTTACTCCGGAGTCTGACCGGTCATTTGGTGTCATTAGTGGTGAAAAAAGTCAATCTAGTGTGAAAGTGAGTGGCAATGAAGATGATCGGGCAACCAAGGGTAAAGATAGTAGCTTAAGTCATAGTTTTTTAGAAAAAAGGTCTCAAGTCAATATCATAGTGTAGCTTCTGGGCAATTGTATACTCCTACTCGATTAAATCTTCTTCAGGTAAATATTCAATGTTTGAGAAATAAGTTACTTGAACTTGAAAGCTTCTGTGAGGAAAATAAAATAGACATAATATGTCTCTCAGAACATTGGCTTACTTCTGAGGAATTACAGGTTTTTACACCACATGGTTACGTTCCCGGTAGTTTTTTTATTCGAAAAAATTTCAAAAACGGAGGTGCAGGAATTTTTGTTAGAGAGGGGATTGAATTCTGTAAATTTGATATGAGTAAATTTAGTTCAGAAATAGACATAGAAATTAGCTGTGTTAAAATAATTAAAGACAATTTGTATGTTATATCATTGTACAGGTCACCTCGTGGCAACATAGATATATTTTTTGAGAAACTTGAATTAGCCGTGAAGAAGGTTTTATCGAGGGGGACCAAAGTTATCGTCTGCGGAGATTTTAACATAGAAATGATAACAACTGATAACAACAACTCAATTTTGTTTTTGAACTTATTAAGATCAATTAATTTATACTGTACTTATTCCTCACCCACCAGAAACAATGCCTGTTTGGACAACATTTTAGTTAACTTCTCCCAAGATCTGTATGAAGTTACCTCAGCTGAGGGTCACTTTGCGGACCATACTCCACTCCTTTTCACTTTAAAATCTAATATTTCATATACCAATAAAAACTGTAAAACATCACAACAAACTTCTTATTACCGATCACAGAATAATAATGTTATCCAGCTATTTACCAATGAATTAATAAAAGAGAAGTGGAGTATGGTCGAAGAGCACAAAAACGGCAAGATAAATGTTAATACACTGTTTGATAGCTTCTTTAAAAGATATGTAGACCTTTGGCATTTTTGTTCACCATTATTAAAATGTAAAAAAAGCAAACCTACAACTAGTAAAAACAAAGTTAACTGGTATACCAATGAGTTAAGAGTTGAAAGAGACAAAATGCTGACTTTATTTCATATTTACAAAGATTTGTCAAGGAGTGGCTCTGAGCAGACCCAATTGGCTTATAACGCTTATCTCACATGTAAAAGAAATTATAGAAAAAACTTAAAACTAACTAAAAAAATAGCTTGTGAGAAATACATTGATAGTGCAAGAAACAAATGCAAAGCTGCTTGGGAGGTCATATCCCAAGAAAGCTGCAAAAGTTCCACCAAAGTCATCCCTCTTGACCCTGAGTGTGTAAATCAATACTTTATAGAATCTGTCAATAAACTGGTGAAAGGCATTCCTGACACTAATGTCAGTATCTGTGATTTAATGGGTACAAGACCTATAGCTCCTAACTCCTTTCACTGGACAAGTGTAAATCTGGTTGAAGTTTCGAAAATTGTTTCAAGCCTATCAAATTCAAAAAGCACTGATTTTTATTGGATATCCAACTATTTACTGAAACAGACAATAAATATAATTAAGGAACCACTTGCTTATATAATAAGTAGATGTTTAGAATCTGGCTATTTTTCAAATATGTTAAAATTGTCTAAAATTACACCGGTTTATAAGAAAGGAGACAGAAATCTTCCACAAAATTATCGTCCTATATCCGTTATTCCAATTTTTTCAAAATTATTTAAAACTGTTATGAACAATCAACTTAGCAACTATTTTGAAATAAACAGACTATTTTCTGAGTCCCAATTTGGTTTTAGACCCGGACATTCTACGATTTCTGCAGTAATGAAAATTGTCAGTAAAGCACTACATGCCTTTGAAAATAAAGAATCAGCCTTCCTATCCCTATTAGATTTAACTAAGGCATTTGATTGTGTACCGCCTATCAATATCCTTACTAAACTTAACTTTTATGGTGTTTCTGGCGACTCCTTGAAATTAATTGAATCATACTTAATGAACCGTAAGCAATATGTAAATATTATGGGTGCTCACTCATCATTGTGTGATGTCTCCTTGGGAGTGCCGCAGGGCTCAGTTCTCGGACCATTTCTCTTTATTGTAATAATAAATGATCTTCCCAAAAATGTAGGTGTAAATTCTATTATCTATGCAGATGATTCCACGTTTTTTACTTGTAATAAAAACCTTGACCTCTTGGAGGCCAGAATAACCTCAGCTCAAAACCAAGCACAAGAATGGTTCTCAGCTAATAAACTGCTGTGTAATGAGACTAAAACTCAGAATATTTTGCTCAGTCTTTCACAAAATCAAAACCATCAATCAAAATCAATCATCGATCTAAATCAATCTGTAAAACTGCTGGGAATTCACATAGACTCAAAGCTCACATGGAATGACCATGTTGTAAATTTGTGTAAAAAACTCTCAAGGGTCAATTGTTTGTTTTGGAAACTGAGCTCCATAATCTCTACTGACTATCTGAGGACTGCCTATTTCGGACTCTTTCAGTCTCATATTGCTTATGGTCTCATACTTTGGGGACACTCTGCAAATGTCTCAGATGCCCTGATTCTTCAAAAAAAATTAATTAGAACCATTTGTCAAGCCAGGCCTGGAGATCATAGTAGATGTCTTTTCAAACAATTGAAGATTCCTACAATTATTAACTTGTATATTTATCATGTATTAATATTCACAAAAACAAATCTAAATTCTTTTTTTATTAGACGTGAGGTACACAATCACAATACCAGGAATAAAAACAAACTTGAAATCCCGCAACATAGGTTAACAAAGTTTGGAAATTCTTACATGGTAAATTGTGTTAAATTTTTTAATAAGCTTCCCGATAATGCTCACACCACTCCTCTTAAAGGCTTCAAAACCAAGATGTATCAATGGCTCCTAGACAATCCATTCTTTACTATTAATGAGTTTATGGCCACCAACATAGATAATATATTTTAAGTTTTCAAATTAATGATAAGCATTAACTTTTGTTTGTTTGGATGAGGTTTACCAATTTTATTAATTTAATGTCTATGAAGCTGTTGTTTGGGTACTAGGCTGGAGTTGCAACTTTAGTTTTAATTTAAATATATTTAGATATTATTGATGATTATTATCGATATTATTGATATTATTTGATGTTATTGACTGTATATATTTATGTTGACCATGCCCATCTCATGTAAAAATGATCAACGGCAATAAATATCTTATGTCTTATGTCTTATGTCTTACTGACACTGCACTCCTCTTGCTTCCACATGGTGATCTCACCTTGTCAATTCACCTTCTTCTAGGTCTTCCTCTTGGTCTTCTTCCATTCATGTGAAGCTCACTCATTTTTTGGGGGGGATTCTATCATTTTCCATTCTTCTCAAGTGGCCGAACCATCTCAATCTCTCTACTTGCTTTCTAAAACTTTCTTCAACTATTCCTCTTCTCAACTCTTCATTCCTAACTATCCAATCTTGTTTTCCCTTACTGCTTACAAACTTCTTTTTCCTCGCCTGAACCCTATTCCATTCCCTCTCTGTTATTGGCCTATTCCAAACTTCTGCACAACAGGTTACTATCAGTATTTAAGTTTTATACATAGTAATATTATTTATTTTAGTATGTAAAATATTAAATATATGTATGTTTAGTAACTTATGTATGTAATCCAATTGTTGATTGAGGTTAACAACCTATATGTTTCGCCGTAAATACGGCATCGTCAGGGTTACAAAATGTCTTTGTTTTTGTAACCCTGACGATGCAGTATTTACGGCAAAACATGTAGGTTGTTAACCTCAATCAACAATTGGGGATTATTTGACGAGGTATTGTACCATAATATTATAGATATTACCAATACTTGGCCGTTGGTATCGGTATCGAGAATGGATAGTCGATACAGATACCCATCACATCAGCGCAATCGAAAAATAACCGCTATTGCCACGATCGCGCAAGACTACTCAGGCGCGAGTGTTGTTCATGATTTTGCCACGAACGTGAAAGACGACGATGACGTTTCCATGACCGTGGGAGAAGAAAATGACGTCTGCACGAGCGAGGGAGATGTTCATGATTTGCCGCAATTGCAAAAAGACAACGATGACGTTTCCATGATGGCAGGAGACGATGATGACGTTTCCATGATGGCAGGAGACGTTTCCGTGACCGCGCGAGTTGATAATGATGTATGTCCACGTGACCGCGTGAGATTATCAGATTTTGGCAGCGATCCTGGAAGACAATGATACTATCTACACAGCCGAAAAATGCTAATGCATTTGCCACAATCTCAGAAGACTTTGTTTAGGCCAAACATAAGTATATTTAAGGTATAAATTGGTAATAGTTATGTAAACCATCTTACCCCCTCTGCCAAAAAAAGGAAGGGCTTCATTTTTAAGGTTTTGACTGTACACTTTATTATAAGACGTTTAATCCATATGTTTGAGCAATCATCAAATGATAATCATCAAAAAGAAGTAAAACGGCTTGAATAAGGTAAGAATGTAGTATTTTGTAAATTGCATAATTTATGTGTTTTAAAATGTTAGGAGGTAAAGGAGGAGGAGGAGGAGGCGGCGGTGGCGGCGGAGGAGGTCAACAACCTCCATCACAGCAACAACCTCCACCCCAGCAACAACAACCTCCACCCCAGCAACAACAACCTCAACCCCCGCGACAGCAGGTAAGATTTGCTCTATGTAGAGCCTTTTAAGATTAGTGGAATGGTATAATCTGAACATTGAGGCCAATCAGAGCGCCAATTCATACTCACTTTGTGCATTCTTGCTGTTAGGCCTACTCTAACAGGAAATTAACTGTATGTATTACTAAAAAAAAAAAACAACTTTGACGATGTCTATTGTAATACTTGTATTGCTTAATGACAAATAAAGATCTTGAATCTTGAATCAATGAATTGAGTAAGATAAGACTGTAAAGTATAATTTTTTTAATTGCACAACTACATTCTACTGGGAATACATGTATACTTTGAATTTATGGGTTAATTAAATACCTCTACTATTTTCTTGCAAAGGTCGAAGATTTGTAGGTTCCTTTGGCTTTGGCTTAATTGATTATGTTGTTTGACATAATGAGATTAAACAAATTATATTATATTTTCTTTATTGGGTGGGTTGGTAGAGAATGTGCCAGAAGGAGACTGGCCAATGGCAAAATTGTGTCGACGTTAAGAATGTTGAGCGGGAGAAAGCAATGGTCTTGAGTGGGTAGGCTATGTAATGTGCAGTATCAGGCCATGTAGCAACAGCATGGTGTTGATTCCAGGTTATTGGTCCACCGCTCGTTGTTTAGCACTAGATACCATCAGGAGTTCAAAAAATAATTATCCAAGATTTTATTTGAACTATATATAGGCCTATTTCTATTTCATATAAGGTAATTGGGGGGAAAAATAAATCAAGGAAGTTTTCAAGGGGTTTGAAACCCGAAGTAAAGTACGTAAATTAATTGGTTTTTGTGAAGATGTATTAAGTTACCAACACTCTGACCTTTATCTGTTCACAGACCAAAAATCTGTAAATTACGTTTTTATTCATAGGCTATAGTGTTCAAATAGCGTCAAAATGTGAAATATTGGGATGAATCGTATACAGTAGACTGTAGACTCCTGTTATTTCAAACTCCTCAATCCTCAACTTTAGTCCAAATTGAAATAATTCAAAACCATTAACAGTTAATACAAAAACGACATAATGTTTCATCACCACACATTTTGTGTTCATTGTTAGTTAACAGTTGCTGCAAGCCACTCACCGGTGAGTGCTCCATTTTCTTTCTGCCACGCTGAACGCTCAATAGTGAGTGCTGGCATCACCTACATTCCATTCAATTTCTGCGCAGCAGCACCCCGGGAAAAACGGGTATTTTCATGTCTGCATTTAGCTAGGTATGGGTGCTTTATTGTGGTGTAGGTTTGTAGTAAATTTCCCCTTAAAATCCCTTTCTGGCAAGCTTAAACATCTTTCTCTCTCTAATTGACAATACAATGGGACCAGCTAGTTCCAGACAGTGCTGCTATCTGTGAAGTGTTTCTGCAAACTACGTTGACTTGTGTCGTAACACAGCACATCACCGTCATTTGCTATTCGTCAGACCGAAATATTTGAAAGCCAAACAGATTCACTCGACGCTGCACTGCACCGGGGCTAGGCCTGCCATTGGTGGGCCGCAGCGAACGTGATAATTAAATAAACATAGTCACTACATCTAGATGTTCATGAATATCACTGTAACCTGCTTGTTATGGAAAATAAGTTTACACAAACTTTGGTACGTAATGTGAAGCACCAGTGCATAAATTATGTAATAAGATTCATTTGCGGCTAGTGAACAACCTTTTCTACAATATAGACTTTTAGAAATGTGTATACTTTGTATTTGTCCTATTGGAAATAAACATTTGATTATTGATTTATAGATAAATCCAATCCATCTTGGTTTGGACTGGAGTCAACTGTATTTGCCTAACTAATTCTGGTTTCTCTTACATTGCATTTATTTGATTTCCACTTTTCTCAGCAACAGAGGGCAGGCCCCCCTCCTGGGCCAGATTTCGCTGGTGGAGGAGATTTCCCCAGCATTGGAGGGGGAGGAGGTGGTGGGAGAGGAGGTGGGAGAGGAGGTCGGGGCAGAGGACAGGATGGAGGTAAGTGATAATCTGAAAAAGTATTCCCTAGTTTTGAGATTTCTTTATTTATTGTACAATATACAAATCACAATTACTGATACATTAAATGAAAGGTAATGAAATAAAAGTTTAGATGTATTATATAGTGTGTATTCAAAATTAAGTAAAAAAAAAAATTTTAAGTAGAAAAAAAATTAAGTAATTAGTGTGTAAATAAAAGGATTATGTGCATTACCACCATATTCACGCCTAAAATTGCGCTGCACAGTAGTACGGTAACAGAATTTGTTTTGCACTAACCAAATAACATGTTGTGCTTTCTGTTGCGGAGTAACCATTGCACTGACAGTGCTAAGCGCTGGATGAGGCGTGTGGCAAAACTAGGCTCAAACAGGTCAAAACAGGTGTACCAAATTTATTGCCAACGTACAAAACTAATGCTTACAAGTATACTCAACAGCACCAAAGGATTATTACTCATCCAACTAATACTATGGTGAGGTATTTTTAAAACTAGGTAGTTCCTTTTCTGACACCCGGTGTAATAATAGACTAGCTGTAGTCATTTTTTTTATTCAAAAGAAACATATTCAAACATGCCAGTCAAAGATTGTGCTACAGTCTGAGTTTCTTCAACTGTTACCTACTGTGTTGGTTGGATGCAACACAGAAGGTGCTATAGTTTTCAGTAAATTAAAATAAAGTTAAGCTCACGGGCGGAAACAGTATTTTACACACTGTTGAAGGCTCAATTGGACCAAGGTCATTTTAATTCTACATAAAACAGTCTACATCTTGTAACATGAAAATGGAATTTTCATTTCTATTGTCGGATTGGTGCTCAGCAATCCAATTGAAAAGTTTTAAGTAGGCCTAAATCAAATGTTTCTTAATTTTGGACGGTTAAAAGCATGAAATTAAAATCGTATAAAGTTATTGTCTTTTTCTATTTATAAGGGTTAACCTTATCATTATGACAAATAATGTGTAAATGTACCTCGTCAGACAATCCTTAACTTGTAGTGTCAAATGTGCTACATATGTTTTGGAGGATATTTAAAAAATCTCCGCCATCATCAGGCTACCAAAAGGATCCAGTTGATGTGTCGTCAGAATAAATAAATAAAACACACTTTTTAAACAAAACATAAAAACGACAATGACAGGCCTATCAACTACACACACTGCCGTGGACATGGCAGGAAGCAGACTGAATGTTATGTTATGATGGACTGACTTGACTCTGGGCTGTCGTCTGCATTATCAACAGCTGATATTGGTCTATTGTAGTGACGGAGTGACCATCTGTAAGGAAATCAACTAGGAGGGGTTATTACCTCATTTAGAACAGTTGTAAAAATTGATCAAATCACTTACGAACGATTTTATTTTTGATTTTTTGGAGCTTCAAACTAAACATAGATACTCAATTAAAATGCATGGGTGCGATAAAAGTTTACTAAAGCAAAAATACTAAGCTGTTACAACTGTTAGACCTTTCATCATACCATTTTTTTGTCATTCTCGAACAGCCATTGTATTTGTAAGTTTTTGAGTTTGTCAAGGTATGTAAATTTTGGTTTGTTCCATCTCTGAGAAATTAGTTAGAATTTAGAGAAATTGAATAGAATCCAAAGTAATTCCATTATTGTTTGTGTATTTTGTGTTTCATGTCACTGTAGTGTAGTTTTGTGCAATTTGGTTGTAGGCCGAGGCGGACGCGGTGGTAGACAAGGAAGAGGAGGGGAAGGAGATGGACCACAGGGTCCACCTCAAGGTAAAATATCACAACAATTTAGTATTTTACTGTGTGTCCATCCTCCAGTTACTGAGGAATAACAAAAACTGGCAATGTAGCATAAGAAGAAGCTGCCAGTTGTGAAAAAACCTTTGGTGATGAAGAGGAAAACACCATTCATCCTACTGCTGCGCATCCAAGGGAGCTGAGAATAGTGTCTTTTTTAAATCACTTCCGCAAAGATTCGTGGCGGCTGAAGGATTAGGATGGTTGGGTGGTGTCCCAGCCCCTAAATTAGCCCTCGCTCGACTGCTCTGGGTTTTGACCATGAGCACAGAAAACATACTACTATAACCCAGAATGCCAACCGCATGGTAAAAAGCATTAAGTGTTTTGAGAGAGCTTTGCCTGTCAATTCATAGGCAGCGCCACCAGCGTTGCTATGCTGGGTGCATAGCAACGCTGGTGGCGCTGCCTACGGATTGACAGGCAAAGGAAGAATTTTTGTATATCACCGTAAAGTGTATTAAATAACGCCAGTTTTGTAACCTACGTCAAATAACAAGAACATAGAGCCCAAACACGAAATAATTGCGACGATATTAAGTATATATTTGGTTTTAAAATAATAGATAGTTTTCGTGTCGTGGTATGCTTAATATCATCACAATTATTTCGTTTTTGGGCTCAATGTTCTTGTTGTTTGATGCAGGTTACAAATATGGTGTTATTTAATATATATTATGGTGATATACAAACTATTTTACCAACTATGCATTGAGCCTAGTGGTTGACTCATTGTCAAACCCCAGAGCAGCCGAGTGAGGGCTAATTTAGGGGCTGGGACACCACCCGACTGTCATAATCCTTCAGCTGCCACGAATCTTTGAGGAAGGTATAGGTACTCCCGTTTCTGGTAGAGTACCTAAGTTAAGAGAGGGTGTTGTAGCATTTTTCTATATTAAATCATGTGGGGGTTTACGCGGTGAACAATGATGTTGTTTTAAAACATTTCCTTCCACACTCCTCTGTAATTCAGGTAAGTATAATTGGTAGTTAATGTGTTAAAATATATCCCAACCAGTTTTAAAAGTTCTGCCTCTTCTCACTGTTGACTCAATTTTTTGTAGTGTTCTGTTTGTATAGATTTTCTGTGGACTCTGATTAGCTCTGATCTCTATCACTTAAAAAGTTCCTAAATAGTGACTGAGTGATTACTTACTTACTTACTGCCGTGGCTCCACAAATCTCAGTTGATTCTTCGCCTCGTGTACCAGCCTCTTCCACCCTTCTCTGTCTTCTGCCAAGTTGACACTTGCACCCATTGTCCTGATGTCGTTCGATACTTGGTCAGTCCATCTCAATTTCGGCCTTCCCAATGGATGTTTACCTCCAGGTGTGGCTCTCCAAACTTCATACAGTCTTGTTCCTTTCTCTCTTCTTAGCACCTGCCCTATCCAACTTAACCTTCTTCCTTTAACTATTGCAACAATATCTGGGTCGGTGTATAGTGATCGCTGAGTGATTAGTTAAAAAAAAATAAACTCAACTCTGACTCCTATTGTTTTCTCAGTTTTTATGCGCTTTGTATTTTTCATTACTTTTGGTACTGTAGTTACTTTCAACTTCAATAGGTCGTCTAAAGATTCAATGTATCTGTGGGTCATAATCCGAGATAAGCTCTAAAGTGTTTGCATTTTGGAAACATCATTTTTACTGATTCCGAGAGCTTGTGCAGTCCCTGAATCCCTGGTTCCCATGCTTTTCCTGTCAGCCCATTTGCCCATTGAAGTTAAGCATTTTCTTTCTTCTCTCCCATGCTTTTGCTTTTATACTATTTGCCGCCTTGATTAACAATATATACAAAACAAATAAGTTTAAGTTATTTTCCGGTGATTATTCTTCATTTTCTGCTTGACAAAATTCATCCGAGTAAGTGACTGCAATGTTCAATTGCTGATATGTTGAGTACTTCAGTTGAAAAATGTGATTAACAGCGATAAAGTGTGTAAATGTTATAGAAACTCCCATTATATACCTAAAGTTCTTAACAATTTTTGTCTTCTTGAAATAGAAAATATTCCTCCATGGTCAAAGAAGTCTATAAAATCGTGGTCTTCGGGGGATGATGAACTGGCAAAAAGTTTTGGCTTGCGCTTCAGTTTCCGTGCAATCCATCTTTAGGGCTAGCTACAATTTAAATTAAATTATATTTATTTCAGCCACTCTTTAATGTCAGCCAGTATTTCCACCAGTTCAACAAGACTGATATCTCACAAAGATCGATATTCCAGTAATATCTTGTTCTGTCATTATTGCAGTATAGATGATTTAGATTTGTTTATTATTGTTATATTTCATTTTGTATTTGTTTGATGTTTAGTTTGCCACATAAAATTATAACTAGTTTATTTCAATTTTTTAGAATTATCTCTCATTGTAATTTAATAAATAATAGTGAATTAATGTACTTTTGTTATTTTGTAAAATTTATATACTAGGAATGGGTCGATGTTTAACATCACTTGTCTGTTCTACATTTTGGAATAGAATCGATTTAAAAATTAATGGAAAGAGTCTTTATTGGTTTATTGGTTGTTATGGAATAATTTTTCCATCTTCCAATAATCTCATATTTGTGAGAATGTTCAAAATTTTATAATATCAGTTTATTTATTCTCCACAAGAATAACATAAATTTTAAATCCCCCCCTTACTGTTATTGGAAATTTTCTACTTAACCTTTTATGCGCACGAAAATGCTTCACAGTAAAAAAATATTGGTTTTTCATTGAATAGATTGCCACAATAAAAATCGTGAATTTTCATATTTTAAGGGTAAAAATTTGAAAAAATAAGAAACTTCATTACACATTGTTTTAACGCCTATTCTTGCTGGTTCACAAATTCATTCTAGATTATCCCATTCTACATATATATGCCAAATTAAATAAAATTCCCATCATTATTGATTTAGTTATTGCGTTCACTAACTTGAATATACAAATTTGAATGAATAGTGTTTTTGGCTTCTTGGGACATCAAAATAAAAAAGTAAATTGGTCACGGGTCTAGGTCTTGCCATGCCATGGCAATAACGTTTTCTCAATAGGTGGAATTCCCTAAAACCAAAACTATAAATTGCAACCTTCACATTTCTAGTAATGCACGACTGGGAGATGATCTCAGATGTTATTGTGTTTCTGGCATAAATGGTTTTGAAAATAAATAATAAGTTTTAGTGTTGGTTCACAAAAGTAAAGTAATAGTTACAATTTTCATGGTGAATAAAAAGTCCAAGACCCCCCCAATCTAATATTAACAAGTAAATATACACAGATATCGTTTTAATGGTCATGCAATCTTAGCAGTAAGTTCCATTTTATGATTTAAACCATTTGTAGTGTCCCCTAAAAATGCGGGTTTTTGGGGCAACTCAAAATGTTGAAATATAAACCTCCTTCAATAGACACTTCATTTTGAAGTGTTTACAAAACTTAAAGAATGGTGAAAACCAGAGTTTGCTGTCTCTTCTCTATCAAAAATGGTAGCCCGTCAAATGTATTGATGTCTACACATAAAAAGATGAAAAAATCAATAACGGTAACATTGGCTACAATTTTGGATAGAGGAGACAAAGTGAGCTCTGGTTTTCACCATTCTTTAAATTTGTGTAACGACTTCAAAATGAGGTGTCACTTGAAGGGAGTTAACATTAAAAACTTTTTAGTTTCCCACAAAATCCCCCTTTTTGGGGGACACTCAACATTTTCAGTCATCAAATGAAACTTCCTGCCAAGGTTGCATGACGACTCCAAGGATAACACTGTAATATTAACTTTGTAACAAATTAGAGGGGAGGGAAAATTACTTTTTTATTCAAGAAAATGTATATAAGCTTAGACGTCATAAAACTTTTGACTGGCTACCATTTTGGATAGAATTAAAGATAGTAAACCCTAGTTTTTGCCATTCTTTAAGTTTTTGTAAACACTTCAAAATAATGTGCACTTGAAGGGGATTTACATTTTAAAATTTTGTGTTGCCCAGTTGCCCCCAAAATCGGGGACTTGACGGACGCTCAACATTTTCAAAATCAAAATGAAACTTCTGTTGAGATTGTATGACCACCAAAAAGAGATCTGTATATTTACTTAGAAGAAATGTTAGATGGGAGGGGGTCTTGACTTTTTATTCCCGCTCTATATTCTACTTTCTGTTTAGTGAATTTCCCATATAGGGAATAAGCTATTACCATAGGTCTCATGGTAAGACCCAACTTCATTTTGATGTCCCCAGAGGCCAAAAATACTATGTCATATATTGTATGTATACATTTTGTCAGATAGCACAATGATAACAATATCTGATTTTGATGGAATTTAGTGCAAACAAGTCCTAAACATGATTTGAACGAGTTTGCAAACCAGCAGGATCGGACTATGGGAACAAGGTTAGTTTTTTTTTTTGGGAAAGGGTTTAATGGGATTGGTTTTTCAAATTTTTGACCCTCAAAACATATAATTTCCCAATTTATCTCTAAACCATTTTGTAGAGCTCATAAAAAACTAACAAGTCTTTTACTTACTTGAATACTTGAAGGCTTCGTCTCTGACCGAAATCCTGGATAGATTGCGTCAATATAGTCAGTATATCGAGGTTTTTTTTTGTATTTTTTATGGCTATGCAGGAAATCTTTACACACATTATTTTCATTGCAATCAAAGTTACCAGAAGTGGTGAAATGAGAAATTCAGAAGCATGACTATACAGTATACAAAAATCAAGAAACATTATTGTAGTCTCTATAGTTGAAGATCACCAAGTAATTTGTACTCTACTATTTCCATTAGTTTGACAGTTTGACGTTGGATATCTTTAGTGAATAAGAGTCCTTGGAGCCTAGACGTTCCAGGTCATAAAACAATTAAAAAACTACAAAGAAAATTTCTAATCCTACAGTGCACTAGATATTTAAATTAAAATCACTCTGGAATTTGAACACATATTTTGAGATGGTAAATAGCTCTTCAGCGGCTGTTTGAAATTGACAAAATTAATATTGCTCTTATGGCGAGGAAATCCAAGATGGCCATTAGCTTCCATGGACTCCCTAGGAAAACAATTAGAAAACTTGAAAGAACATTTCTAATCCCACAGTGTCTTAGATATTTAAATTATAATCACTTTGGTGTTTGAAATTACCCAAGATGGCTGCTAGCCTCCATAGAATCTTAAGTCCTAAAGCTAACAGGGTGTCTGATTACAGCGCCAGCCCAAGGACAAGGAAGAGGGCAAGGACCTCCAGGAGCCCAGGTAAAGCTACAATCATAAGTTACTCTATGTTGTGAATAATAGTCTCAGTAATTTTCTTACGCCATAGGTAAATAGCTATTGGTAGGATTTGCTGTGTTTTTGGTTTTAGGGAATATCTCTAAAGGGGTTCATGAGTTTTCAAATGATAACAAACTCATAAATATATATGATTAGTCGGTTTTTGATGAAGTATTTTGATGTTATAGAGTTTTCCACCACCGGGATTACAAGCTCCACAACATCAAGGAGGTCCATTTCAGCAACGAGGACCCCCTCAACAATTTCAGCGAGGACCCCCTCCTCAGCAAGGACCCCCTGCTCAACAATGGGGACCTCAACAACAGCAACGAGGACCCCCTCCTCAGCAACAGGGAGGACAGTTCCAGCCACGAGGACCCTCTCCTCAACAACAGGGAGGACAGTTCCAGCCACGAGGACCTGCTCCACAACAACAATTCCAGCAACGAGGACCCCCTCCTCAGCAACAGGGAGGACAGTTCCAGCCACGAGGACCTGCTCCACAACAACAATTCCAGCAACGAGGACCCCCTCCTCAGCAATATCAACAAGGACCTCCTGTTCAACAACAAGGGCCACCTCAACAACAACCTCAAGCAAGACCACCTCCCCAACAACAGGCTAAACAGGGGTCACCTGGTAAGAATTCATTAATAATTTTACTTTTTAAATCACTCCCGTTGTTTTTAAGTTTTGGGGTTTTGAAAAGGAATACAAATATTACAATGCATACTCAAGACAACCACTTTATTACTCCTTTGATAACTTTTTGTAAAAATTTGAACACACCTGACTATCTATTCACCTTCCCTGGTAGTCTCAGCTGTTGTCACTAGTCTAGTCTTGTTTTAATCCTTAACATCACACATTTTATTTTTCAACAGTGTTCAACTGTTCAGTACTGTACTAAACAGTGCTGAGCTAGAGAGGGTGTGAACTGGGTGGGGACTGTGTCTGACCATCTTTGATTTTCTGCCCATACAGGCAACGGTAATGGTCGAAGCATATTACGGCATTGTTTATTAAGATGAAAAGTTGCAAAATATATCATTTTAAAGCAATTGCGGATGTGATTTGCTATCTACTTTTTTAATTTAATTGTCATTATTTTGTCCAACTACATACATATAATTTTTCATACCTATGTGATTTTTTTCAACCTCTAGAACAAAAGTTTAAAAAATCCAAAAACAATTCACTTGGAAAATATATTTAAGAATAACGTAACATTTTCTGCTTGGTAATCAAGCTTACGGTGCATGATTTATATGCTTCAACATGAACGCATGTTTTTGCTGATCGGCGCTCGGAAAACCACTGTTTAGCCTGGCATCTGACTTTCAAAATGCAAAATATTGGCTCCTTAATTCATTCATCATATTTATATTAGCCTACACTGGTACAAAATGGGTACTATACAGGGCTTCCAGTATTTTTTCATTTTATTTCATTGATATTACTATAAAAATGAATAATTTCCTACATTTATGGTTTTCGAACAACAAATTACAGTATCACACATTATCAACACCTTGACTCCTAACATAGATTGTGTCAAAAAAAAAAAGAAAAAAACAAAGGCTTAACCTATTTTACTATTAAGATAGGTCATAGCCATAATAAAGTGTAGTTAAAAATTAGGTAAAGAATTTTTAGGAATAAACATGTTTGCAGCAACATTTTGACAAAATAATGTAACACAACTGGTTACTTTTTTCCAACCAACACAATAACGGGTTGTTTAATTTAAACTTTTAAAATCATATAAATGCATTTAGTTAGGGGTCTGCGGTGCACCGAGGTACTAGCCTAATTACCGTCATCGGTTTGGTACAGTATTTTACATAACAATTTATTACTTTCAATTCACTGTTGTTGGTTAGTAGCACATAAAAAGGTTTATCAGATGATTGTTTAGGATTTTCATAATTTATTACTAGAGTAATGGGGCTATAAAAAACCATTAGCAGTCCCAAAACCATTATTTTTTTTGCCGACAATAATTGTGTATGTTGTACCTCTCTCTGTCAAATGTTAATTATTGGTTTAATTAAATCTCTTGACGCAGAGTAAAATATTTTGTTAACTTTTTATAATATCCCGACCTTAAAATTTGAGGCATGAATTAAGTGTTTTAAAATTAAGGTTGGCCCATTAATTATTTCTTTAACTGGAAATTATAAGTATACTACAATTATTATATTATGTATTTTTTTTATTCTTTAAAAGTATACGATAGTTTTAGGTACCGGTAATTCAAAAGTGACCCATTAGCTTGTATATTAGTGCAGTTACTTTTGTTATGGTAGGTATAGTTTGTATAGTACTATAAAAAAACTACTTTGTACTTCATATTTAATTTTGTTTTTCATGTAGAATGGTCAGATGCTTCATCCGACTCATCTAGTTGGGGTAATTTTTCCTATTATTGTGTTGAGTGTTTGATTCAGTTGATTTATTTGTGCGTTTTTGAAATTTGACACATATTGCTACTGTATCAGTAGATTCAGCATGTTCCACTGTTCTACACGGTTACTTCTCTGATCTCTATGTTTTACTGTTGGATGATCCTTGAGACATGTATTCATGACATGCATTTTTGATTATTCATGGAGTATTGCATGGGTTTAAAACATTTACACAATTTATTATTTGGGCATGTTTTTTTCCACTAGTATTTTTGTGTGGATGTGAAGTAGTACAGTCAAGGGTGTCAATAATGTTTTACTTTTGCAAATGAAATAATATCACTGTAGTAGATTGCTTGATTGTTTTATGAAATCCAATCTTTAAATTGGGGATTAATTAGAAAAAAAAAAACTATTTAAGACCACTTAGACATGTTAAGATAGTGTGTTGATTTTAGTATCGGAAGGATCACCTACCATGTATACACCATCTTTTAAAGATCTGTCAGATTTTACTTTTAAATGGAAATAAGTAGAATCTTTAATAGAAAAAACTACAGTCGGGACCACGTAAGTTTGCAGTTGAGGGAGGAGCCTATTTACCATATGGTTTTGAATGAACCAAGGAGAACCGTGCGGTGTTGCCAAATCTAATAATACCAGCTGATTTGAAAATATTGCTTATACTAGCTGTACCCGCGGGCTTTGCCCCGTTTAACTTCATAAGTATTCGCATGGCTCAATTACGTCCTGGTTGAAGTTCGTTCGCTACGCTCACTCACCTTTAGGTTGGAGCTCGTTCGCTGCGCTCACTTGCCTTCAGGTTAGCTCGTTCGCTACGCTAACTCGCCTCCAGGTTGAAGTTCGTTCGCTACGCTCACTCACCTTTTGGTTGCAAATTAGCTGTTGTCATAAATTTAAAAAAATAATAGTGCTGCACCCTGTTGGTAATCCTTGTAACTTTAATGCTATTGAACATCATAGAACAGAACCAGCTTGTATAATTGAAACAGCTGTTAGGATTTATTAATTCCTTTTAAATATGAAAAATCATAAGGTTAACATGGGAAACTGCAGAGCCACTGGGGCGGAGCCCGAAAGCCCGATCAGAATAAAAACTACTTAGTTTTCCTATTTAATGCCCAAAGAATCGGTGTACCGAATTTCAGCCTCCTAGGTAAATGGGAAGTAGGAGAATTAGTGATGAGTGAGTGAGTGAGTCAGTCAGTCAGTCAGTCAGTGAGGGCTTTGCCTTTTATATATTTAGATTTTAATTAGTGTTGTCATTGTTGTCAACGGGCGTTGTGGCAACGTTGCACTAGCCTTGTCTTGTGATTGGCTGCTACCAACTGCAAACTTACTTGGTCCCGACTTAGGTTTATATAGTATTACTGAAATTTATCCTAAAATTAACCTAAAAAATTAAATAAATTACGCTCCTGTGTTGTTAATAAATTATGTTATTTAGTGCCAACTGTGTCCGATTAATCATCAGTAGTTTTTTAGTTGATTAAAGTGAACTGTTCTCAGCTGGGGACATTACTGCGGGAATATCTCAAGTGTCTATCACAATGTCACCGAAGAGATCCGACACATCTGCTGGCTTGTGGAAGATACCTGAGCGGAAGATAAAATGTGATAAAAACATGATGGTCGGGACAAGGGGAAGACCCATTAACCTTGAGGTCAATCATCTTGCGCTGACCTTGAATAAAATTGGTTTAGCAATTCACTATGATGTTGACTTCAAGCCAGATGTTCCGAAAAAAATGCTGAGGTAATTTGTTGTTATATATTAGGATCGGTTAGTCTCTTGCTACAACCTATGACTATGGAGATAAGTAGATATTTTATGCCTATGTTAAAATAAGTTCAATAATGAAAATGAACACAGTTAAATGGAACCACTGAGAGAGAGTTGGCCCAGTCAATGAAAACAATATAACACCCTTTTTCGCAACTAAATGGTGGAAAGCTGGATTTTTTTATATGTGATAGAATTACATGAGAGGTGTATTTTTTGAAAAGTCTCCACTTGTACCCCTTGAGCTTTCCTTCCCCAATCTTAACAAATCTTACCCTTATATGAGTTACGTTTTCGTTTTCTATATTTAACTGTCCTATCGACCTAAGTATTAAATGGCTCTTGAGCAACCAGGGGAGAGATGTGTGTTAGATTCTTAGGAATTATTAGACAAACTTATCAGTCTTTTTTAACCCTTCCTTGAATTTATGGCACAACATTAACATAATACTATTCAAAAATATGGACCCAGTTTTGGGACTTTGTATCTCAAAAAGTATAAATCGGAAATCAATATGTTTTACACCATTAGAAAGAGATCATTTCCAAGTTTTATTTACACTGATTATATATAGATACTCAATTTTCCCCACCTGTGGTGCAAGGCAAACAAGCGATAGCCGAATTAGTCCCACACACGAGACAGTATCTCTTGTGAAATTGCTTAAGCCAAAGAGTTATGCATTTTCTAGTCGGTGGTTGAATACTGTGTCACCGAATTCCATGAGAAAAACCCGCTGCACTGTAATAAGAGACTCAGTTTGTGAAAACTCTGTCACAAAGAAAATCTTATGTTGCATGGTAGCCATCTTACTAACAACTTAAGGCAAAATAAAACGGCTGCCCATTGTTGCGATAACCGTTTCGGCCGTTTCCGGAACTATGGTCAAAAAACCAAAAAACCATTGAAATTTCTCTGTTTAATGGTGTAAAGTTTATGTCTGTCTGATTTATACTTTTTAAGATACTAAGTCATGAAGTTGGGTCTATATTTTTTAATAGCCCTGTATATTCAAATGCATAAACAGGTAATAATTAAAGTTCTTCATCTCTGGAATATCCCTTTGACCCTTACTTTATTCCCTAAAATGAATAGTTTACGTACAAGATCGAAATACATATATTGTAATGTAATTCATTCATCTATTTATTTATTTATTTATTTATTAAACATCATCACATTACATCAATTCTCTTGACAGGTGATTTGTCACAAAGTCTAATACTAATACTATACTACATTTTAAAATAAAATAGCTTACAAAAGAAATAAAGCATATAATAAGCTACAAACCTATGGGAGAAGCAATATCTTTCAAATACACTCATTTTCCAGATATTCCTCTAACGAGTAAAATGCCCTCTCCAAAAGGAAATTTTTTAAAGATAGTTTAAATTTAGAGAATGAGGCAATGTTTTTAATCCCAGCGGGTAATTTATTGTAAATTTTTGGTCCCATATACTGAGGGGATAAATGAAAGATTTTAAGCCTATGTTGAACTGGTTTTATAATATTTTTGAATCTTGTGTTATGTGGATGAGATTGTTGACAGTCCATGAATGTGTCTCTGAATAAAACTCTCTGGGAACATTTGGTTAATCTATTCGCAGAATTCACGTAATATATTATTACTGTATATGTATTTCTTTATCAATTGAATATCCCTTAAAGACATATTTCTTCATTCTCTATAACGTGATAAATATATTTATGATATTAAATGTACTAAATATAATATACAGTAATATTGAAACAATGTCCTAAAATATATAATAACAATTTTAATGAGAGATAGTTTAAAATAAAAATATTTTTGGTTGTAGAAAAGCAATGGAAGAGATGAGGAAGCGGCATTTCCCTTCCCGCCACCCGGCATTTGATGGACGGAAGAATCTCTACTCGTACGGTGACCTACCTATACCTGGAGATGGGGTGAGTTTTTTTCTCCATGAGATGGATCTGTAGTTGTTTTTTTAAAGACCTCAAAAAGGAACCAAACATAAAAAGACTTACTATGTCGTTACATCTAAGATTTAAATAACTACTTGATCAGCATTGTACCTGTTATTAAATTTATGGAAAGTAAATAAAAGAAACGTCTTATAACACTTTCAAAAATATCTTGAAGCTTATTCTGTTACTCACAAGACGGTAAATATACATTAAAGATGGTAAGTGGTGATCGATTTCGATTGGTCACTTCAATCGTCAGACTCAATAGGTGAAAGTCAGGTTGTCATTCACCTATTGGCCTTAATAAGCCCAATAGGTACTTAAACGTACAATACATACTTTTTGTATATACATTCTTGGAATTGAATAGTGTTTAAAACATTTTTTTTTTAATAAGTGTAGAATAATATGTTGAGCATGTAATTGATAAAATGTCAAAAGGTAGATATGCCCTGCGACAAATGTCAAGGGTGTGTGATATTGATACTTTAAAAACCATATACTTTGCATTAATAAATTCTCACATATCCTATGGTATAGCAATTTATGGAGGAACTACCCAGAAAAATTTGGATAAAATTCTTCATCATAAAAAAAAACACTCCCGCCAATTATTTTCAAAATTAAAAATAAACGCCAATCAATGAAACCATTATTTTCTAAATTAGGTGTTATGACAGTCTATGACTTGTATATTTATGAAACTATATTACATGTAAAAAAATTAAACCTCCAAACTAATAGTACAAATATTCGACACTATAAATTAAGGCATACTAGGCAGGTTGAACGACATAAATTAAATGTCATCATAGGTAATATACAGGGTGAGTTTTAATTGTCCCCCCCCAACTTTTTTCTACATTTTTTCAAATATCAATCCCAGACCACTTCCAAACATTGTTGGGTAGGAAGTACTTCATTTTGACAAGGTGGTCATTTCCGGCCACCATCTTGGATCCGCCATATTGGATGCAAAATATTTTTTTCAAATGTAAAGGTGGGGTTGTGACCCATTATTTCGAAGATTTTTACCCTGATTACAATGCCGCAAACCGTTTTTAAAAATCTTGATTCATTCTAAAGTTATGAGGTCTTTTTAAAACTTTATTTTTAGCCCATTTTAACATTGTGCTTGTACAAACTAAGACCACAATCTCAAAATAGTGGTAGATAAAGATAAGTATACACTACCAGTCATTGCCAACCTATTTCCACTTGGTTATGAATTATGTATTTTTTTCGGCCGCCATCTTGGATCCGCCATTTTGAAATGTGATCAATTATTTTAAATATAAAAGGGGTGTTGTGACCCATCATTTCGGATTACTTTTTTAAGCTGAACTCAATTCCATGGTGCATTTTTTATTTTCATATTTTGATTTTGAAATATTAACATTTTTAACAAAAATATTGCAATGTTTAATAAATAAAACTTGGTAACAAAAAATGGATTGCGGCATTGAGTTAAGCTTAAAAAAGTAGTTCAAAATGATGGGTCACAACACACCCTTCATATTTAAAATAATTTATCCCATTTCAAAATGGCGGATCCAAGATGGCGGCCGAAAAAAATACATCAGTCCTAAATAAGTGAAAATAGGTTTACAATAACTGGTAGTGTATACTTATCTTTATCTAGCACTATTTTGAGATTATGGTCCTAGTTTGTAAATGCACAATGTTAAAATGGGCTAAAAATAAAGTTTTAAAAAGGCCTCATAACTTTAGAATAAATCAAGATTTTTAAAAACGGTTTGCGGCATTGTAATCAGGGTAAAAATCTAGTTCGAAATAATGGGTCACAACCCCACCTTTACTTTCGAAAAAAATATTTTGCATCCAATATGGCGGATCCAAGATGGCGGCCGGAAATGACCACCTTGTCAAAATGAAGTACTTACTACCCAACAATGTTTGGAAGTGGTCTGGGATTGATATTTGAAAAAATGTAGAAAAAAGTTGGGGGGGGGCAATTAAAACTCACCCTGTAGGTTTTTTGAGAAGAAATGTAGTTTCATTGGCATAAAATTCTTATTTAATTTACCTAAAGTTATAATAGAGGAAAAAAGTTTTGACGTTTTTAAAAAAAGATTGAAAAATTATCTCCTTTCATTGTCTTTGTATTCTTTGGATGAATTTTGTAATTCAAGAGAAATCATAAATGATAGTTTAGAAAGATCATTTGATTTAATTTTGTTTTGTTTATTATTCTTAAGCTTAAAATTTGTTTTGAAAAGATAATGATTGTTTTAGCGATAAGTAAAGCATAATTCATCTTTATATTTATTTGACGCTATTCATTGTATAAAAACTTGTACTGTGAATGAATAAAGAGAATTTGAATTGAATTGAATAAGTGTAAGTATTTTGTTGTGTATCGCTTTGTGTATGAACGTTTTAATATGATTTGTTTATTGTGTAGGTGACTGATACAGTCTCAGTAAGTGATGAGGAACGTGACAGACCCAAGGAGTTTATTGTTACAATCAAACGAGTATCATCTGTGGACCTGGGGCAGATCGCTGCCTACCTCAACAATGGAGTTGGGTTTCCCCAGGATGCTATTCAAGCTCTGGATATTGCCTTGCGTAACCCCTCCGCAATGAGGTCAGTAACTCTACTCTTGCTTTTCTCTGTGCTTGATCGGTGCAAATGATAAAGATTGGTAATTGTCAGTACTGGTTCCTGATCAAAATCTGTTTTTTGGTACTAGTTCCTGACGAAAATCAGTTTTTTGGCACTAGTTCCTGACAAAAATCAGTTTTTTGGTACTAGTTCCTGACGAAAATCAGTTTTTTGGTACTAGTTCCTGACAAAAATCAGTTTTTTGGTACTAGTTCCTGACAAAAATCAGTTTTTTGTACTGTTTTGACTATAATTGGTCCTCCTGTATCGGTATTATAGGCACCTAACTAAATTATAGTGTACTTGTTCTTTGAATACCAGTTGAAATGGTTAACATTTTTTATTACATATTCATGTTGTAAAGGGCTATTTAATAACACAGAATTGGCTGTCTATTTTAGCGATTTTATAGAGCTGTAATTTTTACAAATATGAGTGGGAAATTTTGGACCCTTCTGTTTCAAGCCTAATAAAGAACTCTGTGACTAAAATGACAGAATAAATTTCTTGCAAGCTTTGCGTTTTGCAATGTAATCTTATCTCATGTAACAGGGGCAGGCCAAGACCTTAGAGCACTTCATCGGAAAAGTCGAACTATTGCGCACCCCAGACAGTTGTTTCATTGATAGACCCTACAAATTCAGGCATCCGATGAAAGCCTGTAGTCTTCCAATTAGTTCCTCCTCGGGAAGATGTCTATCTCTTACCAAGTGGCCAAGAGTTATCCTTCTAGCATCAGAGAGCTTATCACAATCATAGAGCAGATGATCGGCTGTCTTCTCTGACCTATCGCAATACCTACAGATCGGTTTGCCATCAAATAAGCCCATCCGTTGTAAATGTTTCCTGAATCGCCCATGGCCAGTTAACAGTTCCACCATAATTTAATTCTTCGCCTGTCTAGTCTCAAGAGGTCAGAGGCAACCCTTTGACGTCAGAAGGCCTAAACATAGTAAGCTTGCTAACCCTAAGAAGGGAAGTATCAACCCAACGTTTACGGTGCTTTTCATTGGCTCATGTCACAATAGAAGAGCATGCGCTTTTTCGTGAAATGCCTCAGAAGGGTTGTGGACCTATCATTGTTGTTGCAGAGGCAGCGTTTGCCAGTCTATCTGTGGCTTCATTCGATGCCTGAGTGTCCAGGCACCCAGCAGAGCGTAAGCTTTAACCTTTTTGCAATGTTAATAAAATAAACTTATCACCATACAGGTTCATCCAACTGAGAAATCGAAGAAACATGGAGATGTTCGTCAAGTCTATGAGTTTGAGAAGTACATGAGTTCTAGGACTAGGAGATTATAAATAATGGCCGTTACTGTTACATGGCGGGTTGTCCATGTATTAACAACATTGCATTGGGTCTCTCTTCATCTTTTCACTTCATGTAACAATATTAAGATTGCAGGGAATTATTGTTGAATGATGTTACCAAAATTATGTTTTTTTGCAATGTTTTGGAAAGCAGCAATACTACTTCTAACACTGTCTCGGTTGCCGCATCCAGAATTCACTCTGTAGCGCTCATAGTTGGACCCGTAACCTGTTGGTACCAAAGTATCAGTTCCAACTTCTGAAATTTTAATGTCGGTTCTTAGTATGGTTTTTTTTTAATAAACGGCTAGTGCCGAGAATTGGCTTTATGTACCTTCCTACACATCACTGGTATAAATAATAGGCTACAGGGTGATTCTAAAAAAGTAAACAGCTTTTTTAGTGAAAGTAAATTACCTATCAATATTATTAACTTTAAACTTGATGTGATCAGGTTTACTCCAGTCGGCCGATCTTACTTCACCCGGCCAAGTAACCGAATCATCCAACTCGGCAATGGCTTGGAGCTTTGGTATGGTTTCTACCAAAGTGCCATCTTAGGGTGGCGTCCCTTCCTCAACGTTGATGGTAATTTAATTATGCATACATAGGTTTTAAGGATTTTTGTTAAGATAAGAGAAACAGGCTTACCTGAATGGGAAGAAGACTTCAATGGCACTAGAAAAAAACACTACATCAGGGTGTCCGGCGACCGGGAAAACCGTAAAAAGCGGGAATTATAGGGGAATATTATGACACCAGGAACTATTTTGGGGACTATACCATAATTCTGTAATTATGGCAGTGATGTGCGGGAATTTTTCTGGGATCGATTTTTTATTTTAAATATTCAACAATTAATTATTGAGAGTCAAACAGAACATGTGTACAATTTTTCTGCAACCGGAAAATGTTTTTAGCGCAAAAAGCTAAATTAGCATGTTATGAAGACGACAGGCTACGAACGCCATTTTCTCAAAGCCGTCCAGCCCTGGACCAGGATTCGGGTTGCTACGTCAGAGCTCGGTTTCTGAACGACGATGCGACACGTGAATACAACAACTCTAAACTCTGTCCTAGTGGCATCTGTGGTCTAATGTCTCAGCTGTTTGCTATGCTTGTCTAGATTGACAACTCAGACAAGTGATTTTTTGTTTTTCATTTCTTGTTGTTTACAGATGTCCAATACTTCTGGGATTTAGGGGTAGTTTTAAATATATTAGATGTTAATAACCAACACGATAATGTATGATTAGTATTGTGTCAAGGTATCCAAACTTATTTTTATATAAGTTTGAAGTTTTATATGCTCTCTAAGTAAGGCATTTGATAGCGTGTGTCATTCAATTTTGCTAGAAAAACTGGAAAGTCGTGGGATAATGGGAGTCCCCTTAAAATGGTTTCATTCTTATTTGGATGGTCGGATGCAATTTGTTGAAATAAAGCCCCAAAGCAGAACAACGAGCGACGCTGCGACATTGTCGCGGACACGAAACGCCGAGAAACGCGGGCCTGCGTACACATTTACGGAGTCATAACGACAATCGCGCCGTGACCGCGGAGTCCTACCGACGATCGCGCCGTTACCCTGGAGTCATACTGACGGTCATGCCATGATGGCGAGTCATACCGACGATCACGACGTGACCGCAGAGTCCTACCGACGATCGCGCCGTGACCGCGGAGTCATACTGACGATCATGCCGTGATGGCGGAGTCATGCTGACGATCGAGCCGTGACCGTGAGTCATACCGACGATCGCGCCGTGACCGCGAGTCATGACGACGATCGCACCGTGACCGTGGAGTCATACCGACGATAACCCCGTGACCGCGGAGTCATACCGATGATCGCGCCGTGACCGTGGAGTCATACCGACGATAACCCCGTGACCGCGGAGTCATACCGACGATCGCGCCGTGACCGCGAGTCAAGACGACGATCGCGCCGTGACCGTGAGTCATACAGACGATCACCCCGTGACCCGCGAGTCACAAGTTTCTATAGGTACCTGTAAATTGTTACCCATTTTTTTAGGGGTGTGCGATGCATCGAAAATGCATCGAAATTTCGATTCGATTCGATTCGATGCATCGAATCGCGATTCGATTCAGTGGTGGTCAAAAAACGATTCGATTCACGAGGGAGTCAGTATCCATATACGAAAAACGCCTGCAGAAAGTCAATGCAATACCCGCAATACAGGAGCGCGTTGCTGTTGCGTTTCCTTTACGAAGGCGTTCTTATTTAATACATTCTTTGCATTAAATATAGCTTTAATTGTTTTATATTTTTTTGTTTTGACATTGCAAATGATTAGAGGTTTTGTTTTTTGTCTTGATGTAAGCAGTGTGTGAAATATTTTACTACTGTGAACCTAGCCAAAACAAGGTAGGTTACTCCAAAATCATTTTAAAAATAAGTCTGAAAAATTGTTACTTAATACTTAACTAGTAAGATCAATGTTATAGACTGATACATTTGGTATTTTTGTTAGGTGTCTGTCGGTCCCCGTCCCCGAATTTTTGTTGGGGCAAAAGAAAAAAAAAGAATAATTTATTTCCAAAGAAACACTCTTATATTATTATATCTATTACAGAGGAATTAAAATGTTCAAATGAGAATTAAAAATTAAGTTGGCTCACGACCTTTAAGAATAAAGACACAACAGAGCAATTGCCGCACTGCCACTAGCCAGAGCCAGGTCTAGTCGTCTACTGATAAGAGTAACAAGACAAAAGCCGTGACGCAACACTAACAGTGCAAAGAAAACAAAGTCAAAAGAATAGAAAGACTATTTATCCAGACATACTAGTATAATCATTTATTGTTCATTCAATACATAATTAAAAATATATTTTAGTATTTTACATAATATTATAAACAAAAGAAATATCTGATATAGTGAACAGATCTGTATCTTGGTTAAATAGGGTTAAAAAAATATATTTCTAAGATCCAATACAATATTTACAACTCACAAATTACATTGAATTAATTTCTTTGAAAATAATCTCTAACAGTTTTGTGTTTTTGAATAAAGAAATATATTTCTTTGTCTCTACTTCCTTGTTTCATCACTTGCATTTTGTCAGCAATTGAAGCAACTGGGTAGCAACCGGGTGGTGTAAGAGGGGAGGGGGAGGGTCTATGACCTTGAATTCACACATCGTTGCCCGGGCCTGGCTGGTGAGACTGATTAATTGTTTTTGTTGACATACTACTACCCTTCCTTAAGAGAAAAAGGCCCTGCTGTTCCAAAAACATTGAGGGTAGTTTAAAAACATTGACCTGTGTTGCCAAGGGCACTAGAAGATAGCATTCAACTTTCTTGTCTCTTGATTTAATATTATTTTAATCTTCTATATATTATTTAAGAGTTACTTTTCGGGTACCTAATTAGTTGTGATATTGTTTAGCTTCATTTTATGGATTTTTAATTCTTTTCATTCATTAGCTATCAAAATCAGTTGTTTTAGGATTTTAATCTCTTGCAGTAGGTCTATACTACTGTATGACATGATATGCATTTTTTAGTCCTTATTAATTATACCATAAACAATGTTTGTATGTTATTTACTGTTTTTGAGTTTTATAGGAAATTAGTTTACACAATATCTTTTCTTCAATGAGTTCTCCACTTGACATGTTGCTTCTAGCCTATTACTATTTTAGGCCCTATAAAAATAATGCCTATGTAAAGCTGTAGGCCTACTGATGCCAATAATAATTCTTTATTTATGATGATGTAACAAATAATGTAAGTGTGAGGTTATTATACTAAGGAGGTTAGGAGGCAGGGAATGAATGATACATGTTGCATGGTGGAAACATATTATTTTTATTTTCTTCTTGCTTGCAGTCCTGAAGCCGGTCCACAGGCCCTAAACTTGTGATATGTAAATTTATTTCTTAATGGTCTTTTTATATTAAGTTCCATTCAAATTTGTTGTAAAAAAAAAAAAAAATAAATAAAAAAAAAAAAAATAAAAAAAATATTTTCTTCTTTCTTGCAGTTGAGCCAATTCCAAGTAAAAATTATGAAATAGGCAAGTAAAGCAGCTCACTGGTATTTCCAGCAGTTATTCTAATACATATGATTGAAAATAAATATTTTTTCACCTAAAATTCATATGTAAGTATGAATAGGCCTAATACCACATTAAAAAAAATTTGTATTACACAAATGTGATAAATTTTAATTATTGTTAATCCACTCAATTGACAATTATGAATAGAAAAATACCGTATTGCTTCGAATCGAGTTGCATCGAATCGAATCGAAAATCTTTTGAATCGAATCGTTGCTTCGAATCGAAAATTTTTTGCTGCTTCGCACACCCCTACATTTTTTGGTTTTTATAGATCAGTGCCACAAATGGTAAAAATTGATTTCGTATGTCTTTTTTGGTAACTGCAATACAGTACTTTTTTTATGCACAGAAAAAAATCCTGTCCCATCCCGTCCCGAAAATCGGGAAGGAAATAAAAATCCCGTCCCGTCCCGTCCCGAACTAAAATTTCAATCCCGTCCATCCCTAGTGTGTTTATATAAAGAAACTATAGTACATTTAAAGTTTTACTCCTGAAGACCTTGTTAACACTTGTTAAGGTATGTGCATATATATACGTATTTAAAAAAAAGTAAATTAAAATAACCTGATTATGCCTACCCCTTAATAGTTTTTTAGTTTTTTGTTTTAAAAGTAGGCTATACAAGTTATTGAAATTTACTTATTTTATTTAACTATATTACTAGTTGCCCTAAAGAGTGAATATATATATTTATACCGGTATATAAGTCATTATTTAGCTTTTTAGTTTTAGCGCTTGCGGACACATTTTGAGGTTTTCACAGGCCGTTGCAGACACGTAGGAACCATTCTGCTTTGGGGAAATAAAGTCAAACAAAAACAATTATTTAACTACATTTAACTCTAATAAACGTAGAATTAAGTGGGGCGTGCCACAAGAGTTCAATTCTGGGACAAGTTTTTTTTTATGTTATACAAAATAAATGCCTAAAAGTATTGTTAATCCTCAAAGGATAAAATTTCTTTATATGCAGATAAATTTAAACAAAATATTCTATCTGTATTTTGTTTCTAAAGGAAACATGATATTTATATCTCATGTGATTATTTCTGAAACATCACTGTTTTTGATAAGTTGATAAAAATGAAGTTTTTGTTTAAGAGTAACAATAGAAAATAACCTAAACAATTCAATTACTTCATTTCAGTTCTTTATTTACATTGTAATTCATGTAGTAGTTGTTTTGGTTCTGGATAACATATGTTTCTAATTTCTCCTTTGTATTTTTGTACAGTATATTATAAAAGTTGAATATTGATCATATATTGATTGGGCCTTAACAATCACAATTGTGTAAAATTCTGTTAAAAACTGTTTTACTAATATTTTTGTCATCTTCATCACACAGTTGCCCACAAAGGGTTCCCGGAGGCGAAAAATCTTCTGGACGTCATGCTTATGATTAAAGATAAGAACAAGCGCTGGAACGACCCTGGATCCACATTAGACGATTTACAACGTAACGGACTGCAGCGTTATGAGATAGAAGACTTTGTCAAGTTCATTAGAGGTCTCAAGTGTGAGTGTATGCTGCCTAACCAGCCCCACACTCGGAGAGTGTACAAGATGAACGGTTGCAAAAAACCCTGCTCCGAGCACAGGTTAGCTGCAACATTATTTGTTTGTACTCAGTGTCTCAACCACCTGTAACGGTAGGTAAAATTCAGGGCTTCCTGTTACTTTAGGTGAGATACCTCAGGAAACAAATTCAAAACTCGCTTTTCAATCTCAGCTATGCTCCTAAACCAAAAAATTAAATTAAACAAATCACACAACAATAATTAACAACCAAAAGGTAGAATAGACTAAAACAGTATTAGTATAATACCCCTGCCGCAGCAAACCTGCAGACTAAGTGAATTTCCATTTCCCTGAATGGATTTACACTAAAATGTCTCCTTAAAAATATCACATTTATTTCCTATTTAAATAGAATCAGTTTAAAACATACTTAGGTTTGCTGCAACAGGGAGGGTAAAAGTGTTTTTTATGTAAAATGTTAATAGTTAGTAAGAAATAAAAACATTTTCCAAATTTGGGCAAAATATATTAATAAACAAGCAAACTACAACAGTTTACTTATTCTCCATAAGAATAACATGGGAATTTTAAATTTACAACTTTTTGGAATTTTCTCCGTAACCATTAGGCGCATTATAACGCGTCAATATACTAAATTATTTGTTTTTTTAAGCTCTACAAAATAGTTTAGAAAGAAATTGCAAAATTTTATGTTTTTTGGGTCAAAAATGGGAAAAACCCATTTTTACCCCATAAAAGCCCCCATAAACCCCCGTTCCCATGGTCCGATCATGCTGGTTCGCAAACTCGTTCGAATAAACGTAGGTTTACACATTTGCACCAAATTTCATCAAAATCGGATCATTCTTGCTCGAGTTATCGCGCTAACGGACACATATTTATATATATATATATGAATTTGAACGGATGGTGTTTTTGGCCTCTAGGGACCTCAAAACGAAAAAAAAAATCGGTCCCGGGTTCAGGTTTTACCATGAGTACTACGGTACTCTCGAGTCGTCCATCTACTCCGCAGACTTAAACCCCTGTTGACGAGGCAATACCTGACCACCGTCTATCACGGCTTGTTTCATTCCCACCTCTCCTATGGGCTCCTGCTTTGGGGACACGCTGCAAGGTGTGAAGATATTCTTCTCCTTCAAAAGAAGGCGGTTCGGATTATTGCATCGAAGAGTGACAGTGAGCACTGTAGGCCTATCTTCAGAAGCCTAAAAATCCTTACTATCTTCAGCCAGTATGTACGGTTTGGCCTCTGTTATGTGAGGGATAACTTAGATCAGCTCACAACAAGGGAATTCCACCACTCCCACAACCTTCGTAACAGAGACCAGCTCCACATACCTTACTGCAGGCTGTCCAAAACGCAAAGCTTTTTCCGCATCAGGGCTCTGAAGATGTACAACAGTCTCCCCCAAAGATTTAAGTCTTGTGAACCGTCCACTTTTAAAAAGAAAGTTAAAGCCTGGCTAGTCGACCGACCACTGTACTCAGTTGACGAGTATTTTGATGCGTTCCATCGAGTATAGGCTTAACGCCATCTTGCCAAAGTATTGTAAATAGTGTAAATATTATTTTTAGTTTATGACACAGTCTATCCAGAAATTCTGGTCAACGACGTCGCAGCAGGTATTCAGGTATTCAGGTAATAGCTTATTCCCTATATGGGAAATTCGCTAAAACAGAAAACCCATTTTGGAAAAAGGTTCCAAATTGGGTTTCAGTCCCCCCAATTAAACACCCAACAAGGACACATAAAACTGACCCAAGATCAAGTACGTTGACCTACTTATAGCCACAGCCTTTTTTAGGTGAGAACAACAAGATGTTGTTCATCGACATTTCTAGCCTACTCACACATCGCCAAACACACTATTTTTACAATATTACACCCCTATTATGAAAGGCAGTTAAATAAATTGTATAGCTTACCTGTAAAAATTAAATGTACTATAGAAAGATTAGCCTACTTGATACGATGCTGCACATTTTAGTCTGGAAATAGAATACTTTTTTTTGAAAACTATAACTCACAGAGTAAATGATGTAGGCCTAACATAGAGCACAAGGGCCTAGGTTTATTAGGATTTTTTGAGGGGATAATCAGGCTTACCAGAATGGGAAAGAGTCCAAACTGGCACAGGAAACACAAAACTTTACACTATATATACAAAACATAAGTATTAGTTTAAACACTTTGTGTATCTATCTAGTGTTAAGTTTTTTGTTTCCTGTGCCAGTTTGGAATCTTTCCCATTCAGGTAAGCCTGCTATCCTCTCGAGAAGTCCTAAAAACTCACAAATTAACTGTGTTTTTATAAATACAATCACATCCTATTGAAAGAAAATTCAGTAGAGCGTTGATCATCCTAAACGATTAAGGCAGAGGGGTGTTCGGATAGTTGGACATCAACGTAAAATGGCCTTGTATTTCTTTGTAAAGAGTAGTTCTAATACCTTGATTTTGACAAAGTGTATAATTTGAGCTACAAACAACATTTGTGATTATTGTAGAAGCTATAATTGACTTAAATGACAAAACAGTACAAATATGTGTTTGGATAAAAGCAGCAATTGTCTCTGTTAAATGCTATAAAAATGTATGACTTAATCATTGTCTTGTAGTATATTATATTTCTGTGTGAATAATCAGATGGATTTATATTTGTTGAACTACCTGAATTTATTGTGACCTAATTGACATTGATCAAATATTTCGAATTTTTTATGATATTTGTCTTTTTTTACTTTTTATGAAATTATTTTAATGCTTTTGACTTTCCACAGGTTCCGTCTTGAGAACGGGACACAAATGACCATCGGGGAGTATTATCAGCGAGAGAAAAACTACAGGCTGAGATTCCCCCATCTTCCCAGCATCTGGGTCGGCCCGGAGAACAAAGAAATCTGTCTGCCACCTGAGGTAAAGTTAAACCTGGTAACCAAAACAATAACAAAGGCGACTTGTAAGTAACAGACATTTTGGCCTGTCTTAACTAGTGAACACAGAATAACAATAGAAGGGTGTGGGAGTGTTAAGGTGTGGCTAATTTAAGGAGTTGATGTTGCCTGACTAAGATAGCGGTTGTCCGCTAGCTCTCCGGCTATTGCTAGAATACTTAGTAAAAGGATTATTACAACATAATACAGTGAATAAATTAAATAAACAAAGTACTTATTCCTCATAATAAATGACGGCATGATTAAATAAAATACATTCATAATAAACTACAACAGAATGATCAAAACTAAATAGCAAAGACATTTATGCGGAACTGTCGAACCGCCCCACTCCGTTACTGCCTAGCCTCAGAGCCCCCTAACTCGATTTTGTCCTGCAGAATCTGCTAACCCTGGAACTCACTAAACCTGGCCAAGCCCACTGCTATGGAGTGTTGCCAAACATTGTATAGAGAAATTATCGTATTTTGTTGTATTTAAAATATGTCAGTGATAATGTAGACAATGGTTACTTTTTGTACCACATCATCTCTCACAGTCATGTAGACATCATCATTGTCTCCCACGGTTATGGAAACATCATCATCGTCCTCCACAATCTCGGCAAAAACCATGAACAATTCACATCTTACTCCGCCCAATTTATTAGTAAAAATATTTCATACATTTTATTACAGTTTACAAAATCAAAAACAACTATAGGCCTACTAGTAAATATTTCCATAATTCATACATAGTTCTAAACTTCTTCTTATTTATGAGAAACAAGATATGACTTATAATGACAAAATAATCCCTATTTTATCATAACAAAGTGTCTAGTGGCTGGCAGAGTCATGACCGAGGCTGGAGCGTGGACAACACCCACCCTCCGACAGAAAAAACACCAGTGGCAGAAGAATTTTTTTTTCTTTGTTTGCATTGTGATGTAAATTAAACTTCCTTCTGTGCTAAACCAGTGGTTGACCTGTTTGTTGTTACAGCTTTGTACTGTTCTTCCTGGTCAAGTGACCAATCGCAAGATGGATGAGGTTCAGACGGCTGCTATGGTGAAAGCTGCAGCAAGACCTGCTGACGAGCGCAAGAAGAAGATCTATGAAGCTGTGAGTATGACTAAGATCACTTGTAAACTATGGTACCTTTACCTGCCATCGGTTAACTTGCCTCCAGTTCCGCGAGTGGTGCCGCTTATATGCTGGTTATTTCACAAGTTTAGGGTTTTTACTAACTGATAAATAAATCTTTATTGTCACATAATGTTTACAAAATATAGCAATGCTATAAAACAGGTGACATTGTCAATACAGTATAGGCCTACAAATACCTTAAAAACTAAGGAGTTATAAAAGAATAAAATAAACTAACGCTATGAAAATAGAAATAATTGTTGTAGACAAAATAGATAAACTTAAACATTGCATCTAAAATACCAAATAATTACACATCTTGATCACATAAAAACTCATCTATACTATAATATGTTTTCCTTAAAAGAAAATTAGTAAGGCTGCTCTTGAAATGCTTAGACTGTATTCTGTTTTTGAGCTCTTGAGACAATTTATTAAAAAACTGTTTGCCCATGTATGTCAGAGTTTTTTCTACTAATGAAAGACGGTGCCGCGGATATTGAAAATTATATTTAAACCTAGTATCGTACTTATGCTTGACATTTTCACTAGATAATTTTTCAAAATTTCCCTCCACCATCAAAAGTGTTTTAAAAATGGTTAAACTCGGAACAGTCATTATCCCTAATTCTTTAAAAATAGGTTTACATGATGTTCTCCAAGGAGCAAATATCATTATTCTTAAAAACCTTTTTTGTATCTTAAAAATTAAATCAATGTTTGATGCAAAGCCCCAGAATTCAATTCCATACTGAAGAATTGAAAAGAAGTATGCATAATATAACATCAAACGAGTTTTTAAGTCAATTGTGTTTCTTAAACATATCATTTGATAACATGCCGAATTCAGTCTACTAATCAAATTTTCAATGCTTTTGTTCCAATTTAAATTTGAGTCTACGTACAATCCGAGAAAGTTTGCATCATCTTGAACACATAAATTTTGGTCACTAAACTCTCTTGCCTGAGCAGTACAAAACTTTACCAATTGGGTTTTATCTTGATTCATTTTTAAACCGTTAATATTGAACCACCGTTCCAATTCCGATAGGGCTTGTTTAACTTTGAGAGATAGTTCTGAATCAATTTTAGATTTGACAACTGCAGTTGTATCGTCGGCATATAAAACAAGGTTGTTGGAAACATTTTTAGGCAAGTCATTTATATATAAAATAAAGAGTATAGGTCCGAGAATTGACCCTTGGGGAACACCAACTGTAATTTTTTCCCATTCTGATATTGATTTTTCATTATTTTTAAAAATTACTGTTCTTTGAAATCGATTTGTCAAGTATGAAGTCAACCATAAAACAGATTCTTTTGAAAAGTTATACATTTTTAGCTTTTTTAAAAGTATATCATGGTTGACACAGTCAAATGCCTTGGATAGGTCACAAAACACTCCCATTGTGCTCTGTGACCCATCCAAAGCCCATGAAACCTCACTAATAAAATCTGATAAAGCTTTCATTGTGCTTAAGCGCTTTCTAAAACCAAATTGTTCATTAGCCAAAATATTGTTATTCTCGAGAAAGTTTGAGATTTGTTTGGATGCTAATTTTTCAAACACTTTTGAAAATGATGGTAAAAGGGAAACTGGTCGATAATTGTCCGGATTTTGTCTCTCGCCCTTCTTGAAGAGAGGTTTGAGCTCTGCATATTTTAAATGGTCTGGAAAAGTTTTTTTTTTTAAAAGACTGATTAATAATTATAGATAAAGGTTCAGCTATGAAATTAGAGACAGTTTTCATCAGATCAATAGGAATACCGTCCCAGCCCGCAGATTTTTTACTTTTGAGAGATTTTATATTATTAATAACTTCTTCTGTACTTACAAAACTAAATTCAAATTGGTTAGGTTGATTTCCTGCCAATGAATGCCTTGTCATTTTTAGTGCATCCTCTTCATGAGGTATTATGCCAATTTCTTTTGTGATATTTTTAAATTTTTTATTAAAGAATTCAGAAATTTCCTTGCCATTTTTTAGATGATTGTCATTAACCTTAATATCAGGAAAGTTTAAGTCACTTTTTTTATAACCGAGTTCAGATTTAATGATAAGCCAAGCAGCCTTACTCTTGTTACATGATTCTTTTATAAATTTAGCATTATACAATTTTTTAGCTTCATTGCATACCTTGTTGAAAGTTAACTTATACCTTTTAACATAATTAATGAAATTATTATCATTTGATTTCTTTACTAGTCTGCTTAGTTCCCTTTTTCTAATACTAGATATTTTAATACCGGTTGTTATCCAAGACTTTTTTTTATTATGCGGTTTGGTATGATAAAACTTCATAGGAAATGCCTCTTCAAATAAATTTGAAACTGATTACTACTCAGTGAGTGGATACGTGTGTTGGATGGATTAAACTGCATTCATATATATAAACTGTATCTGTAAGCGTAAAAATAATTAAAACAATTATTACCAGATAGACTTAAGTAAATTTTAACCCAAAATAGTTGTTAGAACTGTAAAATACACATATTATAACATTAAAAATCTGTGTAGGAAATTAATTTGCAACATAGGCTACTTAATTTACTCACTTAAAAATTAATGAATACAAGAATCAGAAAACATACAATGTGATTTTCTATTCTCGATTCACTAATGTAATTTACATTATTTTTTTTCTTCATTGCACTAATTTATTTGTTTTGTGGAACTGGTGGACCTAGTCACTTCGGAAGTTAAAATAGAATGGTGTTGTACTTCTCTTAATTTGTACTCTTCATATCTAATGAAATCAATTTTATGGTATCACAAGCAATGTAGCCTACAAAAAAAAAAAAAAAAAAAACTATGCAGTAGATAACATTTTGTACTTATTCCTGATATGCACACTTTCACATCCCTCTCCCTCCATTAGAAAACAATTTTTTTAGGCAAAACCTTACTACGCAACTGATAGCGGGTAAAAAGAGCAATTAATGTTTTATTGCAATTAAAGTCAAATAATGTATTCAGACAAATAAATACAAACAATGACTCAGTTAGGAATTGCTATTTGTGTATTAAGAGTGCAAAGTATGTCATTGCCGCTCTAGAACTGTTACATTTGGAGAGCTCAATGAATGTTCTTGCTCAGGATTTTTCCTACCTTCGTAATTATCCTATCATAAAACAAAACTTTAACTTTTTATTTGTATATAAAATAATAAAATTATTGTCAAAAAAAACGCCAACAGTAAACTCAGCCGATTTTGGAGAATGGGAATGAATAAAGTGGAAATGAGATTTTTTGAATACTGATTACAGGTGTGGCAATGTGATAATTTCCATGCAGTTTTTGGGAAAAATTTACATTTTCATAAGCTTGTAACAAAAAATTTCTCTATTCATTTAATTTTGGCACTTGCTAGTTTCTTATCTATGGGTAGTTTTAAAAAACAAAATTTTTCCCCTTTGATGTAGTAATATAAGTAAAGATTGAGATGTAAAAAAATCAAATAATATATTGACACAGATACGGTATATAAAATGAAAATTCTTATGTTTAAATATTAAGAGTTTAAAATATGAGAAAGCTCATCATTTGAAATATGTGTTTATTTTTGACAGATGGCGTCTGCTGGATTCAACAAAGATCCGTGCATCACTAATGAGTTCGGTATCTCCGTTGCTCAAGAGTTCCAAAAGATCAAGGGCCGAGTTCTAGAAGCTCCGGCACTCGAATACGGAAACAAGAAGATGGTTAGTTGTACTAATTTTTCTCATATTGTACTTAAATACTAGACAAAAAAATTGATATTTATTTTGTTGTTTGTATGTTTGTTGTTTTGTGTGTGTGTTGTGTTTTGTTTGTATTTTGTTATTTATGGTATACAGGGTTATTACAAATGATGTTCCTGATTTTGATTATAAATAATATTACTGGGTTAATTTGTTTCAAGACTATTTTAGTTGGTACCATTGGAAAGAAAAACTCATTTACATTGGTTTGGGTGCATATCAGTTGTTTGTCAAGTCAATTGTTGTAAGTGTTGTGTAATGGCTGAATTTGAAGGCAGGAAAGCTTTTTGCCAGTTGGAATATTACATTAACCAATCTGTTAATAGAGTGCAACGACACTTTAGAACCAGGTTTAACGATGATCCTCCTAGTAACCACTATATTGGCAAGTGACACTTGAAATTTAAGAGAAATGGCTGCATTTGAATGTTACTTGTAGTAGGGCTGAACTTAACAATGTGCTGCCTGAGATATGGAACGAGCTCGGTGGTCCGAATAATGACACACCCCTGAACTGGCCTACAAGATCATCGGACATCACCCCCTGTATTTTTTTCTTGTGAGGATACATAAAAAATAAGGCGTACACACCACCATTATCAGATAGCATACTTGAGATCCAGCAACGGATTACCAATGCTAAATAGACCTAGACACACTTTTTAAAGTCTAGCAAGAGCTTGACTACATTATTGACATCTGTCGTACCTCAAGGGGTTCCCGTATCGAGCATTTACAGTTCTGTGTATCTGTGTCGAAACTTTTTGAGTTTTTCAAAAGTTGTAACCATTTTATTTTTTTGTATAACAAATAAAACTATTTTTTATGTATGTATGAAATCATGAACATCATTTGTAATAACCCTGTATATTATGAAAAATATTTATTTAAACTAATGTAGTATAAGGGTGTGAGAAGCAGCAAAACTTTTCAATTTGATGCAACAATTTGATCTAAAGAAATTTTAATTGATTCATTTCGATTTGAAGCAACACAGGCTTGTTTTATTCATTCAAGTGAAGTAACATTTGTGATCTACTCACTTTTTTATATGGTATTTGACTTTTATGGCTTTAAGATGAAAAATATTTATTTTCAATCTGAAGAGCCTGTATTGCTAGAAATGTCAGTGAATGCTTGCCTATTCCATAATGTTTATGTGCAGCATCATATTGTTAAGCATGTTACCCATTCATACTATTGATTTTACAATTAATTTATTTGGTGGGAACTAATAAAAACTAGAGGTATGCGACCATAGGTACTTGTTAAACTTATGTTATTTTATTAGATTTAGGCCAAAATTGCATCAGGGAAATATGAAAATTTACTTAGGCTGCAGGTTGTAATAGATTCTGTGTTGTATTCATAAACAACTAGTGTACCTGTTGCTCGAATTCGAGCAATTGCGAAGCATTACAGGCAACTCACGAAGATTATGGAAATACTCACGATCTACACAACAGTTGGATATAATCAAAATCTTTTGTAAATATCTTATCTTTTCTCAAAAAACTGATCTTGTAAGTTAACTCCTTAAGAAATAATTTTAAGAGTTACTGTGATATTAGAATTTTCCACTGATTTGGTAATAGAACATTATATTGCAAAACATGACACGATGCAGAATAAAATCAATTTTAAAATCAGAAAAACCCATTGCAAATACTGTACTTCATTTTGAAAAAATCAATAAATCACAATTTAAATATTAACAGCTGTTTCATTAAAAAGTAGTGTAGAATTATGCATATGGTAAACAAATTTGAAGAGGCAACTTTAAAGGCTTCTGGGGCAGAGCCCCAAGGGAATTTACCTTGTTCCTCTTTTGATGACTCATCTATAGACCAAGACCTTTCTTTAGAGACCCCTACCAAGTTTCTATGCCCAGCCGTTCTCTCAAATTAGCTGGGACAAAAACCCAGTTTTTCCTCCATAAGAATAACATGGGATGGGAATTCAAAGGCCACTGGGGCAGAGCCCCAAGGGAATTTACCACGTTCTCTTTTGATGGCTCATCTACAGACCAAGACCTTTCTTTAGACACCTCTGCCGAGTTTCTACGCCCAGCCGTTCTCTCAATTTAGCTATGACAAAGAAAAACAGTTTCAAATTAATATATAGATAACACTTTAAAGTAAAAAAAAATTCAGTTTGAGATTTAATATTAAAAATCCCTGGTTTTCATCACTAATGTCTGCGGCAGTGTTAATGTAGAATCCAAAAACTTATCAAATATGATATAATAAACAAAAATGGGTGCATAGACATATTTCATGCACAAGAAAATACTAACAAGATAAAACTTTTTCAATAGTATGTTTTGACCTGATATTTTAAATAGACAACCTGACTTAGCCTGTGGTATGTTGGCAGGTAAGGTCTAGGGCAGGCGTGTGGAGGGCAGAACAATTCATGAAGCCCATGAACCTGGAGAGATGGGTTGTGATTACATTGTGTCGCCGGGGAGATGAACCTTCACTGAGGTAACCTTTTCATCAGGGCATAGAAAAAGTCAGCATGGTGCGGTTCCGGCCTAATTACCGCCATCGGTTCGGTGCAGCATTACAACAAATTCGGTCTGGTACAGCCTGGGCCTAATGTTGTTTTACTGTAGTTGGAATAAAAATACCAGTTGTGTTGTGTTAAATTATCTTGTCAAATTATTTATCAAAACATGTTTAGTTCCTTAAAATGCTTAACCTAATTTTAAAACCATCATGGCTATGAGTTATCTTAAAGTGAAATATATAAGGCCTTTTCTTAACTGTGTTTCTTTCTTGGCACAATCCTGTTTGGGGTAAAAGAATTTAAGCATGAGTGGTACCTTAATCGGGGCTGGTTCTAGACAATTTTCTAGCGTACTAAACAACTTTCCGCTCCCCCTCCCCCTCATAAACTTGTTTGGTGGTAAGGATAATTTATCAAGTAGTGGGAGTATGCTCTAGGGTCCCACCTCACGAAGCATAGAATAGAAAAAAAAACACTTGATTCTTTTAGGGACCGTTGCAACTTACTCAGCTTATAGACGAGTCTTTGTTTCCTCTCGCTCCTGACAAAGCCTGCAGCCTCTGTCTAAAGTGACTCGTTTCTCCAAGTCACTGTTTCCCGCAGACAATTCATTGCACCTTAGTATATACTTTGATAGATAGTGAATGAATGGCTGCTGAAAGTACGGTACTAGTTTTAACCATAGACAAATAGAATAAATATAGACCGTCAGCTGTGCTGCGGTTAGAATAAGTTCTGGCGTCCATCGCTAGGTTTGCCGTGTAGGTCGCATACGGCTCCTGCAGCGGTGTACGCCGTAACTACACGGCACTCCTAGCGGTGGGCGCCGGAACCTACCTTTGACAGTCTATATTTATTCTACTTGTCTATGTTGTAACTAGTTTTTATTTAGTTTAAGTGAGTTTTTCTACGAACTGAGCATTTATTTATATTTTCCAGAAACTTTGCTCGTACAATGAATCAGCAAGGCCGAACACTTGGCATGAACATTGCTGAGCCGTTCAAGTACGTAGTTCTTTCAAACATCGAGAACCTCAATCGAGTGAACGGCGATCAGTTAAAGCGTATCATCGGGCCTCACTTCCAAACATACAAGAAGGAAGGAGCTCAGTTGGTGGTGGTGATCATACCTGATCAGCCAAAGGAAACGTACAGTGAGTTAACAAAAAATAGATTCATTGCTATTTTATTTCTTAGTTCGATATGTATCAATTTCTGTTGAAGAAATTGATTATAAATCAGTAAAAAATGGTGTGGACTTCATTGACCTTTATCACTGGTTTAAAGTTTCTAAATATAGCACTGTACATTACATTTAGATTTTTTTAAATTTTATTTATTTACACTAACTTTTTGTCGTAAAATTAAGTGTTATTTAAATAACGAATAAATATGGCTCATTTATGGAAATATATTAGTAAAAATCCAATCAGACAGATCAAATTTGCTTAGTCTGTTGGTTTGCTTCAGAGGGGTATTCTTAATGAGTTAAATGTTAAAAAGAAATGTACAGATAACACACTCTTTTAAAAAAATCTTACTATTGTGTAGTTTTCCCCTCCAAATAAATTACTAAATTAGTTTAATGATATGTGGTGTATGTCTTCAAACTTTACAATCTGATGTTTTTATCTAAGGCAAGGTTAAACTGACGGCTGAGATAGACACAGGTCTACTTACACAGTGTATCAAGGAAAGAACCTTTCAAAAAATGAATCCAGCTACTGCAGGGAATATTCTCCTCAAGATCAATGCCAAACTCAATGGCATCAATCATTCAGTTGACAGGAACAGATGGTACGTAATATCCTTTTCCTGAACTTTTTGAACTCCATAGATAAAAACTAGTTTTTGATAATCATACGCACACGGTAAGAAAAAAGTAGTGAAATAGCTGAATTGAGGTGTCTCGGAAGAATTTACCCTTCCAAGTTCCATCTCTTCCACAGACAGTTTAACACCTTAGACTGGTCAGTGAGACATTGCCTTTGTCCAAGCCAAATCAGACTCAGTCTATGGGAGGAACAGCACTGGTTAACTTACGCCCCTTAGCAAAGTGCTTAAGAACTGACTTCACATTTGCAGCACACGTTAGGTGAAACTTTCTGTTGTTTTTGTTGACCTTACCTCCCATAGATAGTTGTAACTGAAAGTTTGGTCATTTTAGTTATGTGTCTGTTATATTGGAGCTCTAAGGGTTAATTACTCTGTTCCTTAGTAACGTGAATCGTTTAGACTTCCTTAATATTCAACTTGTTTGTCAGCAATTTTTTTAACCATCACAGGATCATGAGGATTTAGTAGTTATCCTCATGCGGCTAATTATTGGTTCAAAGTCAAATTAATTTCCTCTATATGTCACTTGATTTCAGAAAACCCATTCATTTTACTTTATAAGAAGAATAGTATCGTTACATTCACATGGTTTAAACTCATGATAATATAACAGTAGCAATTCAAATTTTACAAATTTCCATCTATTTTCTAAATATTTTGTCGATTGTAAAGTGTTTTTATTTCTTTTAAAATTATTTATGAATTATGATAATGCATTTGAAGTTAGTTTATTTCTATTAAACAGTTTTAATGAAATTTCATCCATCATAGGTGTATTTTTATTATCTCACATTTTTAGAAATTATGAGGAACTAGCATTTATAAGTGTATTTAGTTTCATTATCTCACATTTTTTATGAAAATAAAAGGTGCTAGCATTTATTTTAAACTCAGTTTCCTAGGTGGCTCATAGCATAAAATTTTGTTTTGGAAAGAACAATAATTATTGCAAAAAGTCTATTTTTACAAAATCCTTATTCAATCAAAAATCTCAGACTCTCACTTCTCCATATATTTCCTTGATATGTTTATATTGATTTCATACAGTAGTTCTAAGGACTGAGATTTCCATTGTAATATCTGTTTTTCACAGCCCTATAATCATGAGAGAGCCGACAATGTTGGTAGGGGCTGATGTCACTCACCCCTCCCCAGACCAGACCAACATCCCTTCAGTGGCTGCGGTGAGTGTGTCATCATACTGAGAGTGTTAAGATGGTGGTTCGCAAAGAGGTTGCTATTTTTTGGGGTCTGGGGTATACCGATAAAGTACGGTACGGTTCTGGCCTAATTTACCGTTGTCGGTTCAATACAGTATTTTACTCGGCACAATTTCGGTTCAGTACAGCGTATAAAATGAGATGTGCGAGTACTCGAGATTTCAAGTTCAAGTCGAGTACGGCCTTGAAACTCGAGCTTATCTTTGAACTCGGCAGTTTCAAGTCGAGTTTGGCTTAAAACTTTTAAAAACTGTTAAAAAAAGTTTAAAGAAAAAGTCAGAATAGAATCACTTGAAAGGCAAAACAGTAGGAGGGTGGGAGGGGTTGAGCGATGACCTTGAAAGGAGCAGGGGGGGCACTGTGAGTGGAGTAGTGCAGGGAGAAGGGGAGGGCGCAACCTTGGATCTATATTTAGATTTTCATCACTGCACTTGAGGGCTGATAGGGATTCCAATAGCAGGTCAATGATACAAAGTTGTATTTCAGGAATCCTTTGTCCTGTAGTAGATTGAAGTAGAGTTGAATATAGTTGAAGTAGATTTAGGTCCTTTAATTGTTTTTATTTTACTAGTAGGTACAATTGAGGGTGGTTTTTTGGGACAATTTTTTACCTCTCACCTGGGAAACCTGGAGTTTCCCTTGAATTTCATTTTTAGGGGACGCTGAACACCATGACAAAACCATCGCTGGTCTTGTGATATTTGTTCTTGTTGTTTCAATAGTTTTCTTTTCTACGTCTTATGCACTATTATATTTTGCGTTCTTTGACCAATGAATCTCTTAAGTAATTACTCTTGAGTGACTGTGTATCTGTAAGCGCACTCACTAGTTACAATCTCTCAGGTGGCTGCCAGCCATGATCCCAGAGCCTTCATGTACAACATGATCTGGAAACTTCAACCTCCCCGCGTGGAAATCATCCAGGAATTGGAGGAGATCATGAAGAAACAGCTCATGTTTTTCTACAAGAAGACTGGTCATAAACCGGTCAAGATCGTCTTCTACAGGGATGGAGTCAGCGAAGGACAGTTTAATCAGGTAATCGAATGATTTAGCTTGTAAATAAGTATAATCAAATACTGTAGAATAAGCAATAATCAATGTAAAAAAATGATAGATATTTTTCTTTTTGAATTGGAGATTATTAAGGTTCTTTAAACACTTTCATAGGGTACTAGTGGCACTAATAAGTTTGTTTTTAATTTTTTATTCAAAGTGTTAATCTGGGAATTTTTTTAAAATTCAGAATTCTGGAAGTGTTCTTGATTTTTATTATCATGGCTTTGCAGGGCACTCTAAAACTTAAAATTGTTGATCTCTTAGCTTTGAATATGTAAAAAGCAGACATCCCTCCCTATTTCCATTTAAATTGTATCAAGTTTTTTAGAATAATAATCTAATTTTGACAGAAGCCCACCCTGAAATGAAGTTTAAGCTACAGACTACACTAGTATCCAAAACATGATATATGCATAAACATGGATAAACATACATACATACATAACATGGATATGTATAAACATGGATGATGCTCATAGACCGCACATCAGTTTACTTAAATATACCGCATGGCACGGTTTTTTTTCATTATCTTGATTGGATTTGTCAAGGTTCTGTCAGCCGAGATGTCTGCGATCAGGAGAGCTTGTCAGAGCTTGAGTTCCGACTACAAGCCAGCCGTGTTGTTCCTGGTGGTGCAGAAGCGCCATCACACAAGATTCTTCCCCACTCGCCCGGAAGATGAGGACGGGAAGAACAAGAATGTGCCTCCTGGCACCATTGTGGATACGATGATCACACATCCGAAGGAGATGGACTTTTACTTGGTCAGCCATGCTAGTCTGCAGGTATAGTGGCTTCACTATAAGAAACTGAACTAATACTTGTGCCATCATATTTTAAAAATTAAAATCAATCCAAAATATGAAAATTATTTTAGAACAATCTTTTTCAACAACTGATTTTCAGGCAGTGGTTTAAACCTAGATCACTCTAAAGCACACATGGTTCAATACGGTTAAAAATAAAAATTAAAAAAATTAAAATATCATACTTGTGTGATCACAAAAATAAAGCCTATTATATTGTAAAATATTTTTCTCAACCCTATTTTGTTATCTCTTTTAATTAAATTATTGTAGTAAATAAGTACAACTGAGCACCCTGAATATTTTATCAGCAGCCCTATTACGTGAACACCTGAATTAAAACATAAATGACTCTTTTAATTAATATCATTGTGTCTTTATTCAGTAATTTTATTATCATTAACAGTATGTACTAAGATAAGGTAGTAGAATTATGTTTCTTGTTTTGTATTTCCCGTCTTGTTTTCCTATTTACTCTGATCAATTATTCCTAATGTATTTCTAGACTTCTGTTTCCTTCAAAACCCAGATTGGTAAAATTTAATAGTTAACTATTTAATAGTTAAGGATCAGCAGAGTCCTACAGGATGAATTGATTAAGAATGATTTCTTTAGGGTACCAGCCGACCCACCAAGTACCATAAACTTTACGATGACATAGACATTGGAGAGGACGACTTGGAGGAGTTGACATACTATTTGTGCCACTTGTTCTCTCGTTGCACTCGCTCTGTCAGCTACCCGGCACCGACATACTATGCCCATCTGGCAGCAGCTCGGGGCAGAGTCTACTTGGAGGGGTAAGTCTGCAGAAGTCATTGTATTAGCAAGTTTCACATCAAAGAAGCCATGTGTACAGACTGTGTGTCTACCATTGGTTGGTGTTCACCCCTCCTCTTCAGAAAATACAAGTTTAAAGAACTAACTAAAGCTTAGTTATGTTTAAAGAAAGACTCCAGATCAGGTTGTAATTTTTATAACAAATGGGATAATGATAATAGGTAACTTGTATTGTGAGAGGGGGGGACTCGTGGTCCAAGCATGTCAACCGAAGCTTATTGTGCATCCCCACAGTCTTAGTAACTTAGCTTAGACAAGTCTAGGTAGGCCATAGTACCTATAAAAGACACAAACACAATATTTCCCCACCTGGGGGAATTTGTCAAGTGTAAAAAGTAGTTGTGATTGATAAAACTACTATAAGCCTACATTGTTATTAAAATATCTTTGTCTTTATTACCTCGTCACCACTGTATGTTTCGCTACAGTAATATTGACATTATACTTTTTTCAACTGTTAGACACATTTGACAAGTTTGAATTTATTACCTTGTGGATTAATACGTCAATATTGATAACAACTGGTTGTATACAATTGTAAAACAAAATAGAAACCATTTTGAGAGATAGCGTAAATTATATTTTAACTAGTTATAGTTTGCAAGAGGTACAGTCCTACTAAAGAAGCTACAATATACTGTTATATCGTTCAGTATAACAATAGAGTTCATTACACAGGCCACAAGTGGTGAAATATACTATTTTTATTACAATTTCATAGATAGTATTTGCGTTATTATTTGTCAAGTTTCTCCTGTAGGCCGACTTGTTTTTTGCTTGATTCATTGTTTTACTGATTTCAGGGCTGGCATCAATCTCACGAACCTTAAACAGGAGATGAACACCCGAACAATTCAAGAGGTTATCGTCAACGACTCTCCCATGTTTTTTGTGTAAATTGTTGTCATTACATTACTGAAAAAATGCTGTTGTTTCTGCCTCGCATTGTCTATATTGTTCTATATGGGATGGGATCGATTAACCATTTATTGCTTAGGATCTGTAATTTATTTGGAAAGATCTTTGGATGTACTGCAGTTCATATAGCCAACCTGCATTTACAATCTTTAATGTTATCAAGAATCTTTTTTATATTATTCGTTTGTAAGTTTTCATGTAGTACCAATTAATTTTGTTTATCAAGCAGCAACATCTATGTTTTCCCCCTTTGATTTTACCATTTCTTACTAAGAATTTGTTGTTTGTGAAATAATCATCTTTTGAAGCTAGTGCAATTCATATAGCAACCTGCATTACCAACTAGTTTAATATTTATTCATCCAAGTACCAATTCATCTTGTTTTTCAAGAAGCAACATACGTTTTGGTTTGAATTTGGTTCAAGTTTAGTTACTAATGAAATGATGAAATATGGTAATTGAAATGATTTTGTACAATTGAAACACATTGTGTGTACAGAAAGATGTAGTTTGTATTCAGATATTTATTAATACATTTTATAAACCAATTGTTTTCATTTCCTTTTCCTGTGGTCTTTGTAATGTATAGTAATAAAGATAAATAAATAAATTTGAGACTAATGTATAGTGGTATAATCATTAAGTTTAGTGTGTGGGAACGCTCACCGGTGTTTAACTTTTACTGCAAACCCTCATTGCTGTAAAAATTACGGTTCATAAGTAACTTTTTGTTATTTTCTCTACCTAATGCAATAGTTACTCCCACCGCATACCCACGATAAGGTTGTTGACAAGCAAATGGGAGAAAGTATGTGTTAAATTGTTAATACCGTTTATTTGAACTCATTATCATTTATGACATTACAGAAATAACATATTATTGTCAAACGTATGTTTTTGATCATTGGGAAGAATATTTTATTTTGTTGTGCAGAAAAAAATATACTTTTGTGTTGAATTTTATAATAAAATGTCTCTTAGAAGTTTATTTTCAAGGAGAAATTTAGACAAGATTTGGAAATGAATGCCATAAAGCTGGAAGATTGTGGATGGGGTGTTACTTTAATACTAGCAGAGTACCCGTCCTTCGTACGGGGTTGGTATATAAGTATAAAATGCTTATTGCAGTTATACTCAAGCTTTGAGTTTGCAATGGGGGAGAACATAGTTAGATAAAATTTGCTTCTTTAAATTTACAGTTTACTATAGTATTACACACCATAGCCATAATGTTCTACCAATTTACCCAAACAATAGGGGAAAAAATTATCAAAAATTCGCAAAAAATCACAAATTATTCATAAAATTAAAAACATAAACATAACTGTAAATAATCCTACTTTGACAGTTCTCATTGCGTATCACAGTTTTGTGTTGCTGTTTAGTTCAAATTAGCTGTTTTCATAAATGCAAAAAAATAATAGTGCTGCACCCTGTTGGTAAGTGTTATAACTTTTTAATGCTTTCATATCATAGAACCAACTTTTTTAGTTGAAACAGCTGACTAAATTTTTTAATTCCCTTTAAATATGAATGCTCATAAGGTTAACATGGGGAATTACAGAGCCACTGGGGCGGAGGCCGAAAGGATTTTTGAGATAAGAATATGCCTATATGTTAATCGGGAATGTGAGCTATCGTCATGCCAAATTTTAGCCCAATCCGTCCAGTAGTTAATGCGTGATTGAACTTCAAACAAACACACAAACTTTCACATTATTATATTAGTAAGATTATCTTAGAAAAACACATAGAGATAATGTCATCATCGAAATTGTAAACTGCTAATTCTACGACAAAATCTCTCTGGAACAATTTGTTTTTTGTAGTATCCATTTCGGTCGATTACTTGGTCTTTATATGGTTCTAGTACTATTTTAACATAATCTGGCCTCTTTACTTTTCTAAAAGCAACATAGTTGACCATGGGTAAACACTGGGTTTTTTTTAAATAAATGCCCACTTTTGTGAAGGTTCGTCCTTGCGCCAAAATTTTACCAAATCAAATCGTTCTTTGGTCCTACCCTGTGTAATGCAATCTCATTTAAAAGTGGTAATCTATACACAGGAATAAATTCATGTTCATCCGATGCTCATTTATTCTTCTTCCATTAATATTGTGCCAAATCTGGTGCCTGTTGTTTTCATTTCGAGGAACAATAACTCTGCGTGGTAGTCTTTCCTTTCGACATTATACTTTACTGTGCAAAAAAACAATCCATTGTAAAGTATTAAGCTTAAAAGTATCAAATTGTTTACAGTTCAAAAGATTTGATCTAATTTTCACTTTGTGTTGTTTACTGCTTCACAAACAATTTTACAATAACAAAATAATAACATAGGCCTATGCACATTCAGGTGTAGTTATAACTTTTTTTCAATTTATATTATCACAGCTGTGTTTGCACTAAATAAAAATACATAAAATTAGATTCCCATGCTATTTAAATGTAATAGTATATTACGTTACTAGTCCTGAAAATAAGTGTTTACCGGACGAGTGGGATTACCATACGAGTCCGGTACACACATTTTGGACGAGTTACGTACGATAGTTTACGCCATAATACTTAATCCGTACAAATCCTTATCAAATCAAATCAAAATATCCTTTATTCATTTAAGTACAATTGTACAGGAATAGAGTCAGATCTTACAAAATAAAGTGTTTTACATTTAAGAACTAAAAATAAGACAGAATATCTATTTTATTTGTTCTCCCAAAACTCTTCAAGAGAATAAGGGGCAATTTTAATCAAATACTGTTTCAGACAATTTTTAAACTTTTTTGTATCATTTTCAGTTAGAAGTATTTTTGGAAGATGGGACATAAATTTATTTCCTGCGAATTTTGTTTTCTTTTTATAAAATTCTAGATTGTGTCTATCAATTTGAGATTGAGAACGAGTGTTATAATTATGACTAATTTTGTTTGATACCTGAGTTTTTGTAATATTTTTTGCATAAATAATAGTTTCCAAGATATATAGTCCATGAACAGTTAGTATTCCAAGATCGGTAAAAATATGTTTTACCGAATCTTTCCTTTTCAAATTAAACATTGCCCTAATTGCCCTTTTCTGGTACGATAGAATCCGTTTTAAGTTTTTTGATGTAGTTGCTCCATATATACTGATTCCATAAGCTAAATTAGAATGAACTAAGGCATAATATATTGATATTAATGTTTTTAAGCTGCAAACTTTATACATTTGTCTTAAAGCAGATACTCCTGAAGACATTTTTTTGATAACATGATCAACATGTTTGTCCCAGGCTAGATTTTTATCAATTATTAAACCAAGAAATTTTGTATGTTCTACCTGTTGTAATTTATAATCTTCTAAGATTATGTCTGGATTTAATTTGTTTTTGTTTTGTTTTGTAGAAAATGATACAAAATTAGATTTTTCAGGGTTTAAAAGAAGGTTTTTGCTATCTAAGAATTTTTTTATGATGGAGAGACTGACCAATGATGATGCCTCAATACTTTCTTTTGAATTTCCACAAATGGTAATATTAGTATCATCAGCATACAAACAGGCCGCCCCGCCCACAGGCATCAAGTCAGGCAGACCCCTCAAGTATATTAGGAACAAGAGGGGCCCCAACACCGACCCCTGCGGAACTCCATGGCGGACCATCTGCATCTGTGAATTAAACTTTTGGATGTAATTATATTTACTTGAGAAATCTGATTTATAATGTTCTATCTCAACATATTGTTGCCTAAGAAATAGGTAGGATCTAAACCAATTTAATTCTTTGTCATGAATACCTAATTTTGATAAAGTGTCAATAAGATTTTCATGCGATACACTATCAAATGCCCTTGTTAAATCAAGAAAAATGCCAATTACTTTTTCTCTCTTATCCACTGCATTTATTATACTTTCAATAAATTCAATAACTGCAGTGACTGTCGATTTGCCTGCTTGAAATCCATGTTGTTCTGAATCCATTAAGTTATGTTCATTTAAAAAATCCATCAATTGTATAAAAACAACTTTTTCTAAGATTTTTGAAAAAACTGGAAGAAGTGAAATTGGTCGGTAACAGGAAACATCGTTTGGTTCCCCTTTTTTGAAAACTGGAATAATTTTTGCTATTTTGAGTTTATTAGGAAAAATGCCTGAAATGAGAGAAGAATTTACTATATGTAAAAGAGGTTTTAAAATAGCAGGAAGAACTTTTTTAACAGTAATAATTGAAACATCATCATAGCCAGTAGAATATTTGTTTTCAAAAGATAATATTAATTTTTCAAGATCTTTCTCATCAATTTGCTTGAATTTGAATTTATTAATGGAAATTAAATGCTGAGAATGCACCACACTATCTTTTCCTTGAAGAATTTTAGGAAGAACAGAATTATCAACCACAGACACAAAGAAATCATTGAAACTATTACTGACCTGGAGAGGGTCAGTAATAAATATACCATCTCTCAAAATATCAATGTTACATTTTGAAACCTTTTTGTTGTTTACCTCTGAGTTAATTAATTTCCAAGTTTGTTTTGCTTTATTCTTTGCATTATTTACTTTTCTATCAAAAAACATTTTTTTTCCTTGTCAATGCATTGCTTTAGTTCAGCTTTCAACTTTTTAATGGTTACCTTAAGACTTTCATTCTTACTTAATCTAAATAAAATTTCTAATTCTTTAATCTGTCTTTTTTTGCATATTATTTCTTCAGTAATCCAATTACTTTTTTTGAAACAATTTATCGCTGTTAAAGTTTTAGGGAAAAATACATTAAAATAATGATTAAATATACTATAAAAAACATCATATTTCTTATCTATAGGCGCCTGATAGACTTCTAACCAAGTTTCTGTCAATAACTCTTTCTCAAAAAAATCATAATTATTTGTTGAAAATTTCCTTATTAGTCTTTTTGTTATTTTTTTACTGTTTTTGTTTGAGCATGAAACTTCAAAGAGTTGAGCATCATGGTCCGAAATACAAGTTACAATACCTGTAATTTTACAATCTCTATTCTCTATATTACTTATAATGTTATCAATAGCACTCTGTGAATTTAAATTTACATCTATCCTTGTTGGAAAATTTACCCAGTATGACAAATTATATATCTTTAATATATTAACAAAATCTTTGTATGTTCTATCTTTATTTAACACATTTATGTTAAAATCCCCTGCTAAAATTATATTTGAAAAACGTTTACTTAAAATACTACACAAACTTTCAAATTTATTCAGAAAATTTTTAATCAAACATTTTTTGGGAGACCTATATATACAAGCTATTACACAATTTAAATCAGCGAAAGAGACCTCAGCAAGACAACACTCAAATTCTTTCTCTTCTAATAGAGATTCAACAGCAGGTATTAGGATTTTTTTACTTTTAATGTTATCTTTTATCATGATCATTACTCCACCTCCCACTTTTATAGACCTAGCAAAATATGAACAAACTTTGTAATCTGGAATACTAAAAACTGATATTTCTGGTTCTGTCATTTTGTGTTCAGATATTGCCAAAACAGTAGGTTGGATTTCTGTGAGATTAATTTTTAAGATGTCTAATCTGGATGATAGGTGCTGTACATTTTGATGAAATAACAGTAGATTTGAAAAACTTTTAGCTATTTTGGGTCTGTCTGATGACTTACTTGAGAGTTTAAAAGGGATTTTTCTAGTAGGTCTGTTATTGTAGTTATCTAATGGTCTAAAAAAACATTACTATTTACAAGCTGTGGGATTTCAACATTAGTATTTACAAGGCTTACATCTAAATCAATACTACTATCACTAGACTCTGTGTTACCAATGATCTGGACTACACTCTCACTATTACTCTGCTTTTTGTCACACACTTTCACTATTTCACTATAGGCAAGATGACCAGGAACTACAGTGGACTGCAAACATGATTGGTCATCAGATGTGAGGTCAACTACAACTGTTACAGTTGGCTGGTGGTGGGTAGTGCCAGGTGCAGGTTGTGGGTTGGTTGGAGCAGGTCCTTGTTGAGCATTAGGTGTTGTAGGAGACTCCTCAGCAGCTGAAGTCAGGGGCAAGTGTGAAGATGAAATTATTAGGTCTCGGAGACACTGTACAAAAACTGGGTGTGTCAGTCCATTACGTAAATTTCCTGTTGAGGTTTCATCAAATGTGACAATTAAGATGGATGCACCAGTTCTACTGCAGAATTTTTTAAGATTAGCAATAAAGTGATGAGGAGGTATGCGATCCCGCACACATCCCATAGGAGAACAAATTAATTTCTTGAAGTTTTTGTTTTTGAAATCTTGTTCTAACTGTTTGAAGGCTTGGTTGTAGTTATTAAGATAGTTGCTGTAGTTCCCTGAGTTAAGAAAATATTTAGGTTTCGTTACCAATCCATAAATTGCTGCTCCATTTTTAGTTTTCTGAAATGTTAGATCTATATTTCCATATATATATAGAAATGTTATATATTTCCACCAACTAAAGGACTAATAATCACTAGTCAGAGGTTATGTTTTTGTTTATAACCACTAATTGCCACGAAAATACAGTATAATCAGCTGATTGGTGTCCGGTAAAACTCATTGCAGAACAGTATTACGCAATGAAACCCCATTTGAATAAGCAGGCGGCAAACAGCTGTTTTCTGGACTAAATCCTTGCGTGGGAAGTTCGTCAAAATAATGTAGTGTGGCGTAATAGTATATTACGTTACTAGTCCTGAAAATAAGTGTTTACCGGACGAGTGTGGTCGTTCCCGTGCGAGACGAAGTCGAGTACGGGATTACCATACGAGTCCGGTACACACATTTTGGATGAGTTACGTACGATAGTTTACGCCATAATACTTAATCCGTACAAATCCTTATATATTTCCACCAACTAAAGGACTAATAATCACTAGTCAGAGGTTATGTTTTTGTTTATAACCACTAATTGCCACGAAAATACAGTATAATCAGCTGATTGGTGTCCTCTAAAACTCATTGCAGAACAGTAGTACGCAATGAAACCCCTTTTGAATAAGCTGGCGGCAAACAGCTGTTTTCTGGACTAAATCCTTGCGTGGGAAGTTCGTCAAAATAATGTAGTGTGGCGTAAATTATTTTACGCCACACTACATTATTTTGACGAACTTCCCACGCAAGGATTTAGTCCAGAAAACAGCTGTTTGCCGCCAGCTTATTCAAAAGGGGTTTCATTGCGTACTACTGTTCTGCAATGAGTTTTACCGGACACCAATCAGCTGATTATACCGTATTTAGGTGGCAATGAGTGGTTGGTTATAAACAAAAACATAACCTGTACTTAGTTGGTCTTAGTGATTTTTAGTCCTTTAGTTGGTGGAAATATATAAGGATTTGTACAGATTTAGTAGTATGGCGTAAACTATCGTACGTAACTCGTCCAAAATGTGTGTACCGGACTCGTATGGTAATCCCAACACACTCGTCACACACTCGGTTGAATGGAACAACCACACTCGTCCGGTAAACACTTATTTTCAGGACTAGTAACGTAATATACTATTATTCTGTTACACCCTTTTGGCGCATAATTAAGAAAAATGAATAGTTTTCCCTCAAAATTAACGTCAAGACCTTTAAAATAAGACCCCTCCCATCCTTCTACGGCCATCCAGTCACTCCAAAAATTTGACTTACGGAATTATATATATTGATATTGGTATACATTTGGAAAGGTAAAACGATAATGTTACACTACTTGAACCAGCTGTTCCTGATCATTGGGCTTTAAATTAATGATCCTGACTATTAATGATACTGATTGATGAACTAGCTGGTTTTAGTCAGCAACAAAGCTATACAGATTGTCTCACTCCATTCTACACTCATTAGTCATAATATTTGGGTTAAAATATGCACCTTTTGGGCATCCCCATCTCAAATAATTGATCATTAATAATAATTTAGCTAAAACTCTAAGAAATAATTTGAATATTATTAAATCAGCAAAAATGTTGTGTCAGATTAACTACAAATTACAAAACCTGGCGTATGTTGTGCAATTCTCTACATAAACCATACAAAAAATTAAAGTGCATCAAGCAGCAGTCTTAAAATACCAAAAAGGCTGGCCAGTGATGTATGTGGTCTCCCTTTCAAGCCACAAACAGTCAACTTTTGTACGTACACTTTTGTAGTTTTGTACACTACACTAACTAGGTCCAGGTTTGGATAAATAAAAAAGGTTATACAGTTGCAATGACTTTATTTCCAACCCAAATAATTATCAATACACAAAATCAGCTACTGAATTTAATTCAAAGATAAATCAACTGAATGTAAAGCTACATAATATACAAACACCTGATAACATCCATTTGTACATCAGCTACACACGAAACATACAAAGGATTAATTCTACAAGGCAATAACTGTTCTGTTGTACAAAATAGTGTTTAGAATTGAGCTTATTCGAGTAGGTTACTGCACGTCACACTGTTTACAATATAAAATCAGTGTACCAAAAATCAAGAATAGCGAGTGCCAAAGCATCAAAAGCTTAGTTATTTGTTACATTTTATGATATAAATAAGTTACGATCTAGGCATAGTAAGTCTAAGTATATTGTTTCTTTCTACCTTCATAGTGACAGAGTCATTCTTTCAGAGTGAGATCGAGAGAGTGGTGGCTAGAGGCGAAAAAGCTTAAGACTAATACCAAATGTTATATCTTAAAACTAACTTTATAAATCTACCACTACAATTATACATAACTTAAAACTAGCATTGAAATAATAAAAGTTATACAATTAAATAAAATGAAACAATATTATATTGAGTTACTAAAGCTAAGAAAGGGAACCTGTTTGACAGGGTGAGAAGATTAAAGATTAGCAGAAGGCAATAAATAGTATACACATTTTTAAGTATGTTTGTTCCTGCTATCATAGTGTGAAATATCACTTTAGTGTAACTGAAATAAAAAGGAGACGGGTGAAAGCCATAAATTTAGTGTAGTTTTTACTTTGATGCTTAGAAATCTGCTATTCCTTCTACAATAAAAAATAAAATGTCCAACTCTAACCAAAAGAGTAGGCTGCATAAAAAATTGCTAAGGAGAAATTAAAGTTAAGACACTATTTGAAGTTGTCAGTCTCAAACAATCTTAAGATTTAGAAAGGAAGTACAGAGAAGCAATAGCAACCCATGAAAAATCTAAATTAACAAAAATACAATACACTCAATACAATACCTACAGTATAAATCTAAAAATATAAAAAATTATACAATTATATTTTTTTCATTTATTATTAGTTAGAATAATGGTTACGGTAGTACAATAATTTAATCACTGACATCAGTTATGAAAGTTTGAGTAGAAAATTATCAGCCTTGGTACATATGTATTGGTTATTATTTTTACTATAAATAGAACAACCGATTGAAACGAAACAAAGGTTATTTATTTAGGCCTTAACATGAAACACTATTCTACAATTGTTTATTTAGGCTATTAATAATTTAATAGATACTTTTAGTGTTGACTTAGGAAATAAAACATCACAAGTCGAAAAATAAATTTATTTACCCAATACTAAACAGTTCTTCAAACTTTAAAAGATTTCAAATAGTCCTGCTATAACCGTTCTAATCGGTTTTTCTGTAGGCGCAACACATCAAAACTTGAATTCAACAAATAAAACTTTTCCGAGAATAACAAAGATGCATAGTAAAATAATCCACCAAAATAAACTAAAATTTACGCAATATTTACAATAGCCACTACTCTCTGATGACAAATGATTGAAACGATGGTGAAAGAATGATCAGGCACTGCTTCGCCCCTCTTGGTCTGGCTTAGGACAGATCTGAAACAGACAAATAATCAGTGTTTCAAGTAGATTTGTCGATAAAAATATCTATTAATTACTGACATATGAAACAAAGATTCTGAACACCAATTCCTAAATGATAGCATCAGAATCAAAGTTGAGTTGATTTACGACCATTGGCAATCTCTATGACAAGACACACTTGGAAGCGATGACACACTAGTTGTCCATTAAAAATATTAAAACTAGGAACTAGTAATTTTGACAGACAATTTAAAATAGGTGCTTCAGTCAACGCACTGGTACTTCTAACATATTTCATTTATTTTGGTTTTCATTAACACGTTTGCTGCTGACGACTCCGACGGAAGACATACCATACTGGCACAGCGTGCGTACGACTCTGGCCGGAGTCACGGTGCAGTGGTATACAAGTTGGTACCAACGCATTTATCGGGGATCAACCAAACTATGTCAGCACAGCATGTTGTGCTGGTCATACACTTTAATTTGGTGTAGGTTGGTAGTCAAATTTCTTGTAAAATCCCGTCTGGCAACGCTTTTTGTCCAGTTTTCGGGGATTTTCTATCTTCGAGTTTTTCAGTAAACTACGTCCACTCTCTGGGTTAACACAGCACCATCACCGCCGCTGTCAAGATCCGTCGCTGATTCACTGGCACGCTAATCTGCGTCGCATTTCCAACTGTCCCGAAAAAGGGATTCTCTCAGCCAACATGTTTAACATTTTTGTGAATAAAGGAAATAACAAGTCTGTTAAAAGAAGAAATTACCACTCGCATGATAGGCATTCTAAAGTTGTCTTCCTTGAAACTAGAAGGGGCACTGTTTTAAGGGCTGTTCGTGCGTATAGCTGCTAAAGTTTGTGTATACGCTACAATGAGGTGGTGCGTAAAATGGCATTATTTGTGTCATTTACAACTCTATAGCTGACTTGTGCTTTGTTGTGTCTCTATAAAATGTTTAAAATTGTTGAATCTTCTTCCTGACACAGGCAAAATAAATAACATCAGTGATGCATTTTTTGACTGCAAGAAACATCCGATGCAGAAATTAATCACTAGATGACTGAAGTATATTACCTTAACACAATGAGTGAAGGGTTTAAAATGCAGAAACGAATTGGGGATACAAAAAATTGCAATGGAATGTCCAATATAAAGAACACTTGGGCCTGACTTGATGGGGCTTTGGCTTTGAGATTGATGGGGGACGCTGAGTTCCATCATTCCATGAAATGTTGCTTGGATTCATGGGTGAATAAGAATAAGAATAGTTTATTGCCGTTAAACATGTACATCCAATGGGCAAAGTCACATTTAAAATATCTTAGCCTACTTAAATTTGAACACAGAATGGTAACATTGAATCGTTGAAAATCTTTTTTAAGAACTCGTTGACACTAAACATAGGGTTTTCCAATAACCAATACGACAAAACTTTCTCAAATTTACTATAACTAACTTATTTTGTGCAAAGAGGCAGTTTGTTAAACAAATTAAAAATAAAAACATTTAAAGACTTGAGGGTTTTACTTAACCTACAATGTTGCCTATACATGGTGACTAGATCTTGTGAAATGGTTGTTGATTTGGTGTTTGACAAAGTGACGCTATATTCTTCTTAACATAACATAAGCATACAAAAATATATACATTTATCACAGTTAAAATCTTGGCTTGTTTGAACAAGGGCCTACCCTACAGTGCTCATCATGGTCTACATTAAATAAAATCCTCACAGCCTTTTTCTGAATCACTCATACTTTACTTATTTTTTAACTATTGCAAAGCCCGAGTACAAAATAGCACAGAGCAAAATACTATGAAAAAAAGCAATATAACAAGATTTTAAGTAATGACCAGGTAGGCCAAACCTAAGGCGACGCAACATGTGGAAAGCTTTGAACAAACCTTAGTAACATGAGTATCCCAAACTAACTTAGGATGAAGATGGACACCTAAAAGTTTAACGCTACTGTCATCATCTGCCTCTTTCGGTGCTGTTACGTCTAGATTCTGTGTCTTATTTCTGTCGTTTCTGCGTGTTAAGGAGAAATTTTTTAGCTGCATATGAGATACCCATGTTTTGTCTGTCTCTAGACTGCCTTGACGTAAACTCCCTCCGGTCGCGTCGATAGGGCTAGTCATACGTGTTGTGTGTTTGAAATGTGTTCCATGTTTTGTAAATAAATATTTATGAGCTTTGACGACCTTCAGAAGAAGCGACAATGTCCTTGGGAAAACCTGAAGAAGGCTCCATTGTGAGCCGAAACTAGTTGTTACACAACAACTAGGATTAACAACATTACAGATATTTTTACCACTTTAATTGTATATTAATAATCTGGAGACTGCTTGTTTGAAAAATGAAAAAACAATAAGAAGTTATTAGTATCTTCCTTTTATGCTCTGTGTAATACAAATATAGTAACTGCTTATGCTCAGTGCAATATAAATAAATAAATAAATATGCAATAAATACTTACAGCTTGGTGCTGCCGCCATGTCAAAACGTCTATGGAGTTGATCATTAGAAAACTTGACGAATGATTCGTATTGCTCAGAAAGTTTCAAGTTCAGGATGCGATCATATTCTTCACGGAGCTGAGTCTCTCGCTCAGTCATCATTCTTTCACAAATAATTCCCACCTAGGAAAAAAAAACACAACTCAAGGTACAATTTAAGGTAGATTAATTTCCTTGGTTTATTTATTTAAGTGTATTGTTGTTTCAAATAACGTACATTGCCAACTGATACCATTCAATTTGGTGAATCAGAATACAGAATGATGTGCATTTTTTTTTATAAGGTTTGAAAATGTTTCATATTTTATTGATTTAACTTTAAGTATTTTAGGAAAAGCATAGGCCTACATTGATATTTTCTCAACAGCGCTCATCAAAGTGAAAATAACAAATTTGCTTGCAAATTTACAAATGTCTCATGATTTTTAAGTGCAAGCCGTTAATATTATTTTTGCGGAATCCTTCAACTCCTTTTACCAATTTTGGTTAGAACACGAAATAGATAATGGCTTATTCTCTAAATGCGAAATTTGCTATTAGAAGTAAAATTGAAAACCCTATCTAGCTATTAATTTAATTATATAATTATAATAATTTAATTATAATTATGAGCATCTGAAGGCAGTTTTTGATAGTAACTTACAGTAATGTTGAGAAGGATGGCCAAATGGGCTTTTTGCAATTTTGTGAAAAATCTCTAGAAACTTTACCCAATATCTGCAGGCCTGATGATCTTGAAGATCTCCTTGAGAAACTGCATGTCCCTTAGTAAACTTACTGAAGGAGTGGGCTTAAGCTTTTACTGACTCTGGTTATTACAGTCAAGGAGTAGGTGTCTCATCATGTTTTTGCATAAAATGGGTCCTAAAGTAACTATGTCCGGTGATACCCCCCCCCCCCCCCAATTGCCTAAATCACTCTGTTAAGGATGAGTGCTGGGTATTCTCAAGGATTACCCCTATACAACTTACAGTTTAGGCCTACATCAAATTACAGCAATTAATTCAATTTGGTGTTTCCTCTTGCCATCTCAGATTTCAATAATTTGAATTTGTATATGGAATATGGACATGGCATTGATCATTGGTCTTTTGATAAATGCTCCCGGCTTGTGAAACAGCTGGTCTTTTTTTTTTTTTTTTATCTACGCCAGTGGCATTTTTCTAATGAAGTCAAACACTTTTTTTAAGGGGAAGCGGTCCAAACCCATCAAAGTTTAGTGGATGTGCCGGGGATTGAACCCGTCCCTCCCGCACCGAAGTCCGAGACGCTAACCACTAGGCTAGCAACACAACCTCAAGTCTTAGGTCTTAGTCAGTAACAAAGCTACACAAGGCATCTCAGTTAATTCTACACTCATATCGGGTTAAAATACGCACCTAGGTGGCATCCTCATCTCAACCGGTAATAATAATCAATACTTAGCATAGTATTGGAGGATAGGGAAAATTTCAAATTCCAATTTGAATAGGCCTACACCTAGTTAAACTATTAAATTATTACCATCAACTGACTACTAAGTAGATAATGGAACAGTACAAGGACTAAACACACCGTACCGGTACCTGACAAGTTTTTTTCATCAAAAAAGTTGCATTCTGGAATAAGTTAATATAAAATTTAAATCAAAACTTCTATTACAAGATCCAAGCAAATATTTTGGTATGATCTCTGTAAGCTAGTGTTTAAGCTAGTACGCCTACTTTCCAAATATCTGAGATATCACCGTTTTTTTTTTTTTTTTTTTTTAGAATGTATGTATGGTACCAATTTTTACCAAATTCCACAAGAGTCCTTGGAGCCTAGATGCTCTAACTTATAAAACGATTAAAAACTGCAAAGAAAATCTCTTATCCCACAGTTCACTAGATAGTTTAAATTACTATCACTACTAGGCTTATGTCTACTATCACTATAACTGGTCTTTTAACAAATACTTTGAGATGGTAAATCACTCTTCAGCAGCTGTTTGAAATTCACAAAACTAACATTGCTCTTATGGCAGGCAAATCGAAGATGGCCAATGGCCATTAGCTTCCATGGACTCCCTTGGAAAATAATTCAAAGCAACATCGAAAATTTCTAATCCCACAATGTCCTAGATATTGAAATTACTTAGGCGATCCAGAAAGTAAAGAACGTTTCGTTATGACACCGTTAGGCGCGCGCCGATCTCGTACATTTTGGTATGTGCGTACTCGGCAACTCAGTCGGCATCCAGCCGTGACAATTGGAGCATTCTAGCGCTGCCCGTTTTTTCACAATTTCAACTTAAGATGAGCGCTGCAATAAAAAATCCCGCCAGTTAAGGGGTGCGGTCAGTGATACGGTTTTTGTTGGAAAACACTTAAAACAACCGAAACTTTTCCTCAATTTTCACGGACTTTGTTGTTTAAAATTGTCACGCAACAAAGCGAAAGACCCGTTATCGGAAATTGGCGGTTTTTGCGAACCTTTTCATCAACTTTAGTGACCAGTTCCATCAGTCATAATGCTCGGCGTCCGCCCTTCGCTTCGTCATGACTCATGAGCGTCAGATCGGCCATTTTTAATCTGAATGCACCATTTTCTCAGAACTTTCAATCATTACGTTTTTTTCCTTGAACTTCATACCCTTGGCGATAAATGTCTATCGATTTTAAGTTTAATGCCAACACAAACCGTATCACTGACCGCACCCCTTAACTGGCGGGATTTTTTATTGCAGCGCTCATCTTAAATTGAAATTGTGAAAAAACGGGCAGCGCTATAATGCTCAAATTGTCACGGCTGGATGCCGACTGAGTTGCCGAGTACGCACATACCAAAATGTACGAGATCGGTGCGCGCCTAGCGGCGTCATAACGAAACGTTCTTGACTTTCTGGATAACCCACGTATAACCACTATGGTGTAGGCCTATAAAAATAATATTTTTTGAGTGAAGAATAACTCTTAAGCAGCTGTTTGAAACCATCCTAGACTGGCCACTAGCATCCAAGGCCTAACTCTGAAATGAGTCACATATAATATAAGCTACTGTGTTGGTTTTGACATGGCTTTACTGACCTGTCTGAATGTGAAGAGTGGTTTGTCGCGGTGACTCTGGTGGTAAGTCGCAGCAAAGCTACTGCCCGAAGGTGAGCCCGGGGAGTCAGATGAGGACTCACGATCCAGATGGCTCTCGTTGGGATTGAAGTGCAACTGCTTTCGCCGATGAAGGCGGCGCATTTCCTCACGAATCGCCGCAGCCATCATTTCTAGAATAATTTCAAGTATAAGTATATATCTCAAATGTCATAGGGCTCAAAGAAAGTAGGGTAATTTTTTTTCTACTCAATGTCTTATAAAACACCCACAAGTGGGATATCATTTGATCTTCCTGTTGCTGGTTGATGTCAAGCTAATAGGCTACAAGCAATGATACTTACAAAAAGTAATATTAGAGTACTTTTGAACGAGGCTTGTGTAGCTTAAAACGCTCTAAAAACAATTTCTGTGTCAATTTGGCTGATTAAACGAGAAAAAAGCAATGACAGGTGTCGTTTTACCATTTGTTGGTTACACTACAGTTTGCAAAAAGTTGCTTTGAACAGAATCCAATTTTTTATTCATTATTTCTCGTGTTGACATAAACTTTCAGTGAATTGATAATTTTCCACTTTAATGCTACAGTAGGCTACTTAATTTAAATATTAATATGAATAAACCAAACTATGAACATCTGGTTTTACATTTGTTTGTAATTGTTTTAGCGAATTTCCCATATAGGCTAGGGAATAGGCTATTATACCGTAGGTCTCATGGTAAGACCTGGACCCGGGACCGATTTACTTTTTCGTTTTGAAGTCCCCAGAGACCAAAAACACCAGTCCATTCAATTCATATATTATAGCCTATCAATATTTTTATATGCGTCCGTTAGCACGATAACTCGAGCAAAAATGATCTGATTTTTATGAAATTTGGTATAAACATGTAAACCTACATTTATTCAAACAACATTTATAGAACGGGAGTTTATAAACTCCTCATTCATCCAGCAACTGGATAAAACATTTTACAATATTTATGTAGAAATATGTGCATGATTTAGAAAGTCATTAAAGCTGGAAAACTGCCACTTGAACAAAGATGTTTTCAAAGTCAAAGTAAACTTTATTTGTATGAATACAGTAGCAGCATCAGAATAGAGTCACATAGCCTATAACTAAAAATCACATACTTTCATGCTATATAGCTAAAATACAATATATTTAAAACTATATACAAAACCCAGGCAACCAGTAGTGGCGCCCTTACTTAAGGAAACTCTGAACAAGAATAGAGAGCTTTATTAACAAGATATTCTTTCAGCAAGTTTTTAAATTTATTGTAATTTTGCTAATTTCTAATTAAATTTGGCACCTGAGTAAAAAATTTGGTGCCCATATATTTAGTTTTGTTTTTATAAAAATGCAGAAACTTGAAACATAGCTCACAAATGGATGACAATGCAATATTATGTCATTTAATTTTCATATTTCCCTTGGGCTACGCGCTACGCCCCATGGGCTTGTTTTTATTAGCTCGCTTTCCTACAAACTTTGATATCAATTTTAAACGAAGTTCCTGATGAGCTGGAGACTTGAAATTTAAAATATAGGCCTAGCTCACAAATGGATGACAATGCAATATTATATAGGCCTAATTTAATTTAAATATTTCCCTTGGGCTACGCCCCATGGACTTCCAAATTTTCCATGTTTACATTTTGAAAGAATGTAAATATATCAAATAATTTAAGTAAGCTGTAAATACTTAAATTTGACAGTTCGAAGAGCAGAGGTTAAGAGGTACAGGTTACGCTCCCAAGAGATTCTTTATACAAACAAACATTTCAAAATAAAGATAAACAATCTGATTGCAGATGTAAAGGTGTTTGTTAATAATGTCAATTGTTATTTATTTAGTATTCTATAAAGTAAACAATAAATTTAATAGATCGATATATTTATTGTTAGTAAGTAGTAGGCCCTACATTCAAACATAATTATATGAAAAGAAACTCAAATAAACCTTAGATTTCCCACATGCCTTTGTCTTAATCCGATATAGATGCTTGAAATAGATTTAACATCCACACACATTAACAACTAAAAAGTAGAAAATAATTTACAAATAACTTATGTGGAGAGTATAAATATTTGTAAGATTTAAAACAAAAAACGTGGGGTGTATGCAATTGATATTATGGTGTTAGCCTCCGAATCACTTTAGTTAATAAAAATGGTTTAAATACCTTTAACTGTCAGGTGATCCTCAAAGGATCACCTGACAGTTAAAGGTAGCCTATTTAAACCATTTTTATTAATTGATATTAATAATAAATTAGTTCAATAGGTGAAGGTCATTGTAAATTATCTAGGTATTGCATGCACCCCTTGTTTTTAGTTTGAAATCTTACAAGTATTTATACTCTCCACATATTTGTAAATTAATTTCTACTTTTTAGTGCGTTTACAAACGTTTTGTTTTAAAAAAGTTTTTTATTTATAAATTATTGTGAGATTCGCCCCTATATCAATTATCCACTCAAGAGTTAATTTATAAATTAAATTATTAGGTAACTTAATAAGTTAGCATTAGAAAAGTTATGGACATAAGTTATTGTAAATGGACTAAATTGGTCCATGTCCATTCTACAGGTGTGAGATGAGTGGTGAATGGGACCAATCTAGTCCTTTGGCCACAGCTAGTGATAAGGGGAGCTGAACCGCCTATAAGAGCCCATGTAAAATTTTCTAAGTTTAGGTACATTTTTCTCAGAAACTATTTAACCTACAGCTTTAGAAATTGTAGACAGTTTGAGTTAATATACAGGGTGTTTCAGAATTAGTGTCGGATATTTTAGGGTATTATTCCTGGGTAAGAAACATATCCAAATATCATATTTAAACAGTCCGGAAGTCTTTATTTACTCAAACAGCCGCCATTTTGTTTTTTTCCTTTAATATTTTTTTTTAAAGAGAATGGTAAAACATACGGAATTGAAACTTTGCACAAACATTTCTGACTACTAGGCAAAGCTACAAAAAAATTATGAACATTTTCCAAATACATAAAACAAAATGGCGGCCATTTAAAATTTTGTTTCTTAAATAACTCAAAAACCGTTGATTTTATGAAAATTTTACAAGGATAACTTTTTTTAGGTAATTTTATTACAAATCGATTGACACCTTAATTTTTACAATTGAACGTATATTAACTGAGATATGGCAGTTTTAGTGATACGTGACCACTGGAGGCTAGTTGTAGTGCATGCGGAGCCATGCATTGTTGTGGCAGACTTTAGCCCGCCGCATTTATTTGAGTGTTTGTGAGTCGCTGCAGCGACAAATAACACTCGGAGGGTTAAGGTTCAGCTCCCCTTAATGGTATAGATAGGCCTAGGCCTATGGTTTAAATTGGGCCAATGATGTGAAGTGGTGGGACTGAAAAGCACATGTTAGAGAGGAAGCTAAGTTAGCTAACTGCCATTATTTTAGTTCCATAATCAGCATAGCTTAGTCCTTACCTAGGCCTATTTCATTTAGGCCTAGATTCATTTTCAACGGTAGACACAATTTTTACAATAACTTCTAGGCTACGTTAGGTAAGTTAACTTCAATTTCTGTAGCCTATTACTTATACGCAGACAAGTTATCTTAACAAGCAAACAGTGGTAAGGATAATAGGCTAGTAATTAATTCTAACAAATATATTTGTAATTAAATGCAAACCGTAGGTAACTTATTAAGTAATCTTATTCAACCTTGTAAGCCTGGTCTAAGCTAGGCCTAGACCCACAAGTCAACCATGCAATAAAACAAATAAAAAGGTGAGTGTATATGCGATGCAACCAACTTTTTTCTTATTAGTTAGCAAATTCGTCAACATTTCAGAAAAGAGCGCACTTGTTAGCTTAAAATTGGCTAATTATAGATAATATATTCTCCTGGGGAAGGTCTACGCCTTCCATGTTGGACCTGAAACACAATGAGTTGAACTTAACTAGGCCTACCTGGAGTTAATTTTGGGCAAACGTTGGCAAAAGGCGATGGATCATAATCACTTCGTGTTGTAGGCGGAGAATTCGAAGGTGAAATGCACATAGGTATACATCTCTGTCGTTTGGAGGGTCTGCTATGAACCGGATCAAAATCTAATGAACGTTTCAGAGTAGCACAGGCCATTTTGTTTTTTTGACGTTATAAAGGAAGGCTAAAACACAAATCTTCTTTCACTGTAACAACCAAGGCTATTATTTCTGTTAACTTTAGAATCAATAAAGGAATATAAAATTGAATGTCTACGGAGTAAATGAGTATTGAAATTTGAAGAAACTAGGGATGATTCCAACAATTGACGAGGGCCGAGGAAATCAATATGGGTTTCGTCAACTGAAGGAAGTCTCACTTCACTTCTCCTCTCTGCCACCACTCCCCTCCACTTCCACTCCATCCATCTGGTCTGGGGACAGGACAGGACGGAAGGGCGAGGGGAGGGGCATACCCCAACCAACGGGCTTTCTTAGCTTTTATTACATTTTTTTCATGCTTAGTCACAATCACAGTCCTCAATAATGCCAAATTGTGCCAAAGCATTGACTATACGTATTGGTATTATATAGCTACTAATGGCCAAAGATAGCCAAAAGTTAAAACGATTACCTACAGCAGCGGAATCACGGCCACCAATTATACCCCCGCCGCAACAAACCTGCCAACTAAGCGAATTTCCAATTGTCTGAATTCATTTTTAATTAAATCTATTAAAAAAAAACATTAGGTTTAATGAGTACCTAGGTTAGCTGCTACAAGGAAACTAATAAAGTGTATTTTTTAGTAAAATTTTAATACCTTAGTATAAAATAAACAAATTTGCCAAGTTTTATCAAAATATATCCTTAAACAAGCAAACTACAACATTTTACCATATTCTCCATACAAAAAACATGGGAATTCTAAATTTACAGTTTTTATTTTATTTTATCCATTACCAATAACAGTACCAAAACACTTTTATTTGTTTTTATAAGCTCCTTAAAAAGGTTCATTTTAAACAAATATACCGTACTTACATAACGCAACACAATCAGGTAACTTTTTGTTTGCAATTTGGATGACGGACGTTGGCAATGGCATATGACGGGAATAGCCCACCTATGTATTTTCCTTCCACCATGTCATTTTTCAGTTATTAGAAAAACACATGGCAGATAAATAGATACGATGAAGTAATTGCTTTGCTCTTCTTTTTCTTCTTCTTTGTCTTAATCTGTTCTGTTTCTGTTGTTGTTTATGTGTCAATTAAAGTATCACATATGATACAAAATTAACTAATGTAATTAACTAATGATAAAAGTTAATATTTAATACAAATTAATTGCTTTAGTTAATCTGCATAAATAAGGACACAGGAACGTTTAAACCATATAGTGAAGTGAAACTTTCAACGATGAGCAAAGAGAATACTTCCAAAAAGCTAATTCGATCTAAATCAGGGCTGAGAATTGTTGCTGCAGATGAAAACTACGAAAGCCCATTTCATCTCTGTGAACCTCAGTGGATCCCAGACAAAGAAGTAAGTAGTCTAGCTACTATTTGATAGACGTGCAATTTTAAAACTCAAAATTGCCATAGCCCAATATTTGTTCGGCTGCACTTTACTTTCTAGGCTATCCCAGGAAGAGGAAACATTGTTTAGGCCAAGGTCTTGATTAGAGATAATCATCAATAACTAAGGCCTAGATCTACCATCGTTGCAAACAAATTTACGTTCTCACTTTAAACACGTTCGCTGCTGACGACTCCAATCGGAGTCATGCCGTACTGGCACAGTGTGCGTACGACTGGAGTCACGGTGCAGTGTTATACAAGTTTGTCTATTGTGACCTCCGCATTTATCGGGGATCAACTAAACTATGTCAGCATGTTGTGCTGGTCCTAAGTATAACTTACTTTAATTTGGTGTAGGTTGGGCTTAGGTTGGTAGTAAAATTTCCCTTAAAATCCTGTCCGGCAACGCTTTTTGTCCTGTTTTCAGGGATTTTCTCTCTTTGAGCCACATTACAAAGACACTGGCTATGGATCCAGGCAATGCTGCTATCTCTGAGTTTTTCAGTGAACTATGTCCACTCTCAGGGTAACACAGCACCATCATCACCACCGCTGTTTTGCCGCTGTCAAGACTGATATATTTAATGCTATTGCGTTCGCTGAGTCACTGGCACGCTGAGGCTGTGTCGCATTTCCGACCGTACTGCCAAAGGGGTTCTCGCAGCGAACGTGTTAACAGATGTTCTTTTAAATGTGTTATCATCTGCTTTATGCCTCAGCATTAACTTAGCTCCTAGATAGACGGTTCGGGTTGGCAGTTTTTAGTCCAGTAGGCCTAAGTTACATCACATGACTTGCATCCCAGTCATTACATTAGGCTGTTGTCCTGAAAGAAATTGATTGGCAATTCATCAGTCTTGTCAAGCCTATGTTTATAGAAAAGAATCATGTTTTTTCTGATTTGAGTACTAACGAGGCCTAAGTTTTTCCCTTTTGTGAGGAACCTTAAATCTTCTGATGATCAGCCTTGAACCTTCAAGTATGATGATCATTCCTCGGAGCATCCTGATATAATTTCCAACTTCTTCGCAGACTTCTTCTCATCGGTCTACACCAACAATCATGTCTATAATCCTCCACCTGATGTGGGAGTTTCTGATGTTCTCTCTTCCTGCTCGCTTCAGCCTGGCGAAGTCGTTGTCTGCCTTAGGAATATGAATAGAACCAAGGGTTTCGGCCCTCACAACATACCGCCTAATGTTTTCAAATCAAGTGATGTAGGCCTACTTGCTCCTGTTATTTTATAGTAGTTCTGTTAAACCACTCTTTAGCCTTGGGTGTGTTTCCTAATGCCCTGAAGAGTGTTTACATCTTACCCATTCACAAAACTTGTCCTACTCTAAATGTCCGCAACTACAGACCTATAGCTATCTTAAATACACTCTCCAAAATCTTTGAAAAGTTGATCCTCAAGAGACTTAATTTTGTTATCAAGCCTAGTCTCTCTCCACTGCAACATGGGTTTTCTACCGGACGCTCAATTACCACCAATCTTTTGGTAATACAAGCTGACATCCTTTCGTTATCAAGATCGCTTGCAAGTGGACGCCATTTATCTGGACTTTGCTAAGGCGTTCGACAGGGTAAACCATCCGCTCCTCCTCACTAAGCTCCAAGCTGCTGGTGTAGGCCTAACTGGGTAAATGCTATCTTGGTTCCAGTCGTACCTCACAAACCCGTTCAAGTTAAGTTTCTTGGTTCCTTATCTCATGAATTTTTGACCTGGTGACCCATGATGGTATCCCTTGCCTTCTATTTGCTGACGACCTGAAGATGTACCATACCATTAGAAGCCACGAAGACTACCTTCTCCTCCAACGTAGTCTCCAGAACTGGTGTGTCTCAAACCACATGGACCTAAACATTAAAAAGTGTGTAGCCATATCTTTTAGCAAGAAGAAGTCTCAGTTTCAGTTTGTCTATAGTTTGGGTCAATCTAATCTTGCAAGGGTTAATGAAGTGAGGGATTTAGGCGTGACCATAATCCCCTCCCTGTCATGGGAGCGTCACATTATCTCTAGTTGCAGAAAAGCCCTTCAAGACCTGGGTTTTGTTCTTTGAAGCTTTAAATATTTCCAAGACGTTACTCTACTCAAAACCCTGTTCCTGGCCTTCGTATTGCCACACCTAGAGTTTGGCTGTTGTGTTTGGTCACCTCACCAAGACTATCTCAAGACCGAACTTCAAATGGTTGTAAATCACTTCTTGAGAGTGGTCGGTGTGAGGTTGGGCTACAACTACAGATAGGTACCCATCCACGACATCTCCGTGGCCCTTCAAATCCTTCTATTGGTGTCCAGACATGAAATCCAGGACATCTTGCTCATTTACAAACTGGTCAATGGCTTTATCGACTGTCCCGGACTTCTCAAACTTCTGAACTTCAGGGTGGGTAGATCTTCAACATCCAAGGACCTCTTCTCTCGTGAGCATCTCTGCACCAACTATCATCTCTTCAGCCCATGTCTAGAGCCTAACGTCTTGTACATGCTCTACCTGATGATATTGACCTTCAATATGTCGCTGGCTACTTTCAAGAAATGTGTGGTGATTTTTAAGTGGTGAAGCGAAGTTCCTTCTGTGATTTATGCCTGCCCCTCTCTGTGTTAGGCAAATTTTTCTTCTGCCCTTTTTGGTTTTGTTTAATTATCACGGCAGTTACGGTTTGCATATTTTCTGTTATGTTTGGGTTGTTGCTTTGCTTGTTTTGGTTCATGATACAATTTTTGTTTCTGTTTTTGCACTCAAATGCTATTATCTAATAATTTCCTTGAATTAGTAGATCGTTATTGTGAATTTGTACCAGTTTGTCATCTTGTATTTATTGTCGCTTGTTATCTCGTAGCTTGTTACTGTTCTGAATTGCACACACTTGCATCTTGTTATTTCTTTTTAAAATTGTATCATAACCTGTTATCATCATATGTATTGGCGTCAGCCTTTGAAACAATAAATAAATAAAAATAAATAATAAATTATACCGCACTAAAATGTCTCAATCTCTATTAACTTAGACTATATCACCATGTTACACACACCAGAAATCTTAAAGGGAAACAATCATGTTAGGGCCTAAATCAATTAAATCAATCAATTAACTTATTTAAGATGGAGATGTGTTGAATCTCCTGAACTTTAAAGTGTTCACTTCACATCCCTGTTTCTATGGAACTTTCTCAAGAGGCCGTTTTTTAATGATTTGGGACAGTTGAGAACACTACTTGAGTTACCTGCTTAAGCTCACTCTTGACCACACAGTGCTTTGAAAGATCGTTTTAACCATCCCTCTGTTCTTCAAGAACAACGTGAGACACAGAAGTGGATTACCCATCAGGCACGATAGGCAACTGCCTAGAGGCCGCAATTCTCAGGGGGCCGCAGACAGAAAAATAAAAAATTAGCCCTTTTGGCTATTGAAATGAAAGCTGAAGTAAACATTTCCAAAGTTATTGATGACTTTAATTCAAGCCAGAAGAGAAGGCTTAATTTGATTGAATGCCCTATGATAACACTGAGTAAAAGTGAAATTTGTTTTATCATGTCTTCTTGATTTTTCCTTTTATACCTTACCTATTTCTTATAACATGCATAGGCTATAATGTACGGCCATTACTACAACTGGGTTTTATGGGGGATTCATGGATGGGGTAAAAATTTGTTTTTCTCGTTTTTGAGCCTCAAAGAATAAAATTTCCCAAATGAAGAGCTAAAAAAACAAATAATTTAGTATATTGAATTGTTTTTGTGTTGTTATTAGTTACAGAGAAATTTTTTAATAAAAAAAATGCACATGTTATTCTTATG